GACGCGTATTTCTGTGTGGTTTAAAACACTGCTGTTGTGGTGACTTGATAAGTACCTGAATGTTCTGCAACGTAGATTGTCACAGGAACACCTTGTGTCATTGTCTTCCCATGATGATAGCCATGGAAAGTTTGTTGGGAATGATTTTGAAGCTGGTGGATAGTAAACCTAGAGCTGAAGACAGCAAACAGACCGTGTGTGACCCACTGGTTGAGTTGTCGGTCATTCATCCCACAACGAGCATTGATAATAACACTGCCGGTCGGCCAGCCAGCCTGCCAGCAGCCAGCAGCTAGCCAGCCAGGCAGGCAACCCTGTACAATGCATGGAGGACTCCAGTCATTACAGATCAATACAGACTGGTGGAGAATACATGCTCTATGAAGATGTGTTGTTGCGGGCTGCTTGTTGGGTGTGGCTCCTGCTGCATGTACTCCTCTGTGAGCTGTAAGCACTGACTCAATAATTCCCTCTTTATCGGCAGGATCCATATACTGACTCACTCACTTGTGCCCTGTGGTAGTCGTGGTGTTGTGGACATCTTTGTAGCTGAGGTTTATAGTCGTGGTGTTGTGGACGTCTTTGTAGCTGAGGTTTAGGCTCATGCTGCACCATGGGTGATGCTGGATGAGTTGGTCCCTGGGTCAGATCTGGGGGTACATAGTTGTGTCGGTTGCTATGGAGAATCCTGGGTCAGATCTGGGGGTACATAGTTGTCGGTTGCTATGGAGAATCCTGTGTGAGGAGAGTCACTGGTTGGTCAGATCTGGGGGTACATAGTTGTGTGGGTTGTTATGGAGAATCCTGTGTGAGGAGAGTCACTGGTTGGTCAGATCTGGGGGTACATAGTTGTGTGGGTTGTTATGGAGAATCCTGTGTGAGGAGAGTCACTGGTTGGTCAGATCGGGGGGGTTGTGTCGGTTGCTATGGAGAATACTTGGTTGGGAGGTTCCTGGAAGGTCAGATCTTGGTGGTACAGACATATGTCGGTTGCCATGGAGAATCCAGGTGTATAAATGGCCTTGGGTTCTAAGATTTGGGGAGGGGGGTGGTGGAGATTTGGGGGCAGACTATGGGCAATCACGGATTGGAAAGTCCTTGTTTTAGGAATTGTCTTCAATGTATTGTTTTGCGTTTATGGATGAAAAAATGTAACAACTGAAGTGCTCACTGTGTAAATCTGGACAATGGTGCTAATAAACTCAATCCATTCACTAATTTTGAGACCCGTGAAGATCCGGGGTTGAAAAGGTCTTCACCAACCAATGCTTGCTGAGAAAGGCCTGGGCTCAATTTAAGTTATGTCCCTTCTATGCCTCTCCTATGGACCAATCAGTTTCCACCCCTCATATCACTTGCATTTGCTTCAAACCAAATGGCGCCAAGTCAAGACAATCTGATCAATAATCAAGATCTATATTGTGATAAAACGGATCTTGCATCACGAAGAGCATCAAATCACGTGAGCACCTTGATAAAAAAACATGAAAAGATTGTAAAATATCTGTTGACAAAGAGTTGGCGGTGCACATGGTTTGCAAATTCTGCAATCGACCGAAATCTGCATGACAGTTTACATACCGGATTTCGTTTTCAATGCCTGATTTTGATTGGACTATGCATAGACTCGTTAGTCCAGCCAAAATCTAACTCCATACATAATACTAGCCTAAAGTACTCACGGAAATGAAAAAAACCTGTTTTTTCGATCTCAGATTTTAAATAAATGCAGTTAATATACAAAATGTATAAATAGTCAAACAACTCAATTAGTACTAATTGGGCCTTGGCACAAATACAGCGTATCAAAGGTTTTTATGTCTTTTTACACGTAAAAGTGTGTAAAAATATGAACAAAACAGACTATGGTGAAACTGAGCATAACCAGGTGTTAGTAGATCAAGGTGAATGTCCATGACCTATGACACCTTGACGACAGGTGAAACAGGTGCTTGAAACCCACGTGCATGTGATTTGTCAGTGGTTAGTGATTTGTGAGTGGCATAGTGGGATAGTGAATCATCGTCAAAATATAAGAACATAAAAGTAACATATTCCATTCTCAAACAACAACTTACATGTCATTATTATTATGTACATAAACATAGCTGTTATTTTTATTGTTTTGATAACTTTTTTCCAGGCTAATTAGCATAATGCCTATGGCCTGTTTCTGCCATGTCAATGGACTTAGTTTTATTTTTGAATGTTGAAAGTGCCTACAAATTACCTCCTGTAAAGTACATTTTGTATTGAGCACTGAAAAAAAACTAGCACATCCAGACTAGTACTTTTCCAGTTGTTTTCTTGTTTCGTATTTACATCTACGTAATGCTTTGTGTCGATTATTAAATCCAGCAAAACAGGTTTTTTTCATTACCATGAATACTAGCTCGGCAAGGGTGGAAACTGGACTTTCACAGTCAGTAAACTCTCTTGCCTCGGGAAGATGCATTCAGATATGCTTCAATGAAACGGAGATATGCTGGTCATGTGAAGCTTGTTGATGAGGATTGATGGATTTTCACAGTGATGGATTCTGGGGATGCCAAAGTCTTGAGAGCCATAGTGGTCATTTTTGTGTGCTCAAATATGCTGTGGAAATATGTTTTGTATCGATATGTTTTCCTACTTGACTTATTTCTTTCTTTCATGAGACCCGGGAAGATCCGGGGTGGAATAGGTCTTCAGCAACCCATGCTTGCCGTAAAAGGCGACTATGCCTGTCGTAAGAGGCGTCTAACGGGATCGGGTGGTCAGGCTCGCTGACTTGGTTGATTACATGTCACTATATCCATCATTTTACAGCTACATACAAATATGTATCCTTCACGATGCAGGCATTTTGCTAGAGGCAGATCACCTTAGGACATATTTGGACATTTTATGACATATCATTTAGTTGGCCAAACATTCATCATGCTTACAGCATGTACAGTGCCCTCGTCTTTATTTAAAATATTTTAAAAATGGGTTTACATCTTGGGGGTGATGGGGTACCTATTTAAAAAATTATCATGGCCATTGTAAGGTGATGTCATTGGATAGGATCAGTGACGTCACGTTCAATAGTTACGTAATCTGGTTTGTTCTATGACGTTTCCATATTTTGAAAAGTGGGTCAGTGACATTCGTGTTGATTGCAGTAACTGTTTCAAACCCGATATTGTTGTTTCGTTTTATTTGATAAAAAATTCCATCCATTTTAGCTATAATAACGGTAACATTATTTTTCAGGGCATTATCATTTGCTGAAGCCCATGGTCTTTTCAACTGCTCTTTCGTCGGGCAGTTAATGGAAGACCTTTTGCTTCTGCAAATGATAATGCCCTGAAAAATAGCGTTACCGTTATTATACCAGTGAGGATTCTCTTCGAGAACAGCATGTGAAACCCATTATGTGAAGGGGCGGTCGGGTAGCCTAGTGGTTAAAGCGTTCGCTTATCACGCCGAAGACCCGGGTTTGATTTCCAACATGGGTACAATGTGTGAAGCCCATTTCTGGTGTCCCCTGCCGTGATATTGCTGAAATAATGCTAAAAGTGGCGTAAAACCTTACTCACTCACTCATTATGTGAAATATTGCAGTTAGTTTTTAGCTTAGATCCAGACCGATCCTAAACTGTGATGTGTCAAGTCATTGGTAGTTTACCTTACTGTGATGCCCACCTTGTCAAGATAAACAGAGAAAGCAGTGGGCTGATTGTTGTGTTGTAGGATGGGCGAACAACTGGAGCTACTCATACCCTGCTCCCCGAACATTTAGGATAGGTGTAGTGTTGATTCTATGCAGTCAAAGGTTGACCGGTGAAGATCCGCCTTACAGTTGGCCTTCACCAACCATTGCTTGTCATGGCGACTAATGGGTTCGGTTAGGCTTTCTGACTTGATTGGACCGCCTCCGTGGTCTTGTGGTAGAGCGTCCGCCCGGAGAGCGGAAGGTCCAGGGTTTGATCCCGGGCCGCGTCATACAAAAAGACGTTAAAAGATTGTACTTGTTGTTACCCTGTCTGGCGCTCGGCATTAAGGGGCTAAAGCTAAAACAAGGACTGGTCGGCTCGGAGTCAGTATACTGTGTCTGAGTGGGGTATTCATGTTAAACTGCTGCATGGTATCTCAGTGAGCTAGCACTATAAATCGGCATCAGTCCGGACTAGTACAAGCAGCCACACACACACATACACGTGCATGCACGTCGCTAAATAAGTGCAATAATCTTGGACGCGACGTTAAACCCAATTTCACCTCACCTCTGACTTGATTGATGCATGTCATTGTGTCCCAATTTATCAGATGGATTCTGCTGATGTTAATCACTATTCCTTCACCAGATCGAAAGTCTTGTCGATAAATTTATGACTACTTACGTATTCTGTTTTATTATAACTCCTTGTAGACTCTGGTAGTTGTTTGCATTATTTGAACAGAATCATGAAGCGATTTGTCTCTTACATTTATGATTTTTCAATATTTGTAATATCTCAATACGGGCAGGTAACTTTGAAGATTGGCAGGCAACACTTACGTGTCACTTGGCCGACTGTCTTTTGGGGTTTTAAAAATATTTCGAACACTGTCATTCCCATTTGTTTGTGTTGGTACAGAAATGCATTCAGCCGCACACACATATACATTGCTATATTAGTGCAGACCCTGAGGACCTGGGGTAGAATAGGTCTTCAGCAACCCGTGCTTGCTGTAAAAGGCGACTATGCTTGTCGTAAGAGGCGACTAATGGGATCAGGTGGTCAGGCTCGCTGACTTGGTTGATGCATGTCATATCACAATTGCGTGGATCAATGCTCATGATATCAATCACTGGATTGTCCAGACTGGTCCAGACTCAATTATTTACAATTTACAGACTGACATCATACAGCTGGAATATTGCTGAGTGTGCTGTCTAGCAAGCAACAAACGAACAAAATATAAGTGCAATAATGATGAACAGATCCGTGTTTGATTCTGTCACTAATCGTGTGTCATGTTTGTGTTCACAGGGACAGGAGAGTCAGGGAAGAGTACCTTCATAAAACAGATGCGAATTATCCATGGCGCAGGCTACTCTGACGATGACAAGCGCACCTTCATCAAAATTGTGTACCAGAATATCTTCATGGCTATGAACGCCATGATCAGGGCTATGGAGACTCTAAAGATTGCTTACAGAGATGTGAACTCAGTAAATAATCAGACCGTAAGTGGCGTTGGTTTACTTGTATGAGTTCCCTTTAACCGTTGTACAGCAATTTTATATATTTTATAGAGTTGCCTCCTTTGAGCCCACTGGAAACAGTGATTGTGGCTTCAAATCCCACTTTCAGCCATTTCGTTTCAACAGTTGTCAAACCATGCCAGTGGGTTTTGCCAAAGTGGTAAACATCTGAGACCTGTATCACATCAAGCTTGCTCGTAAAGATCCGGGTTAGAAAAGTTCTTCAACCCATGGTTGTCGTAGGAGACCACTAACAGTGGTCAGGCTCGCTGACTTGGTTGACGCATGTCATCGTACCCAAATTGCGTGGATCGATGTTAATGATATCAATCACTGGATTACCTGGTCCGGACTCTATTATTTACAGCCTGCCGTCATAAGGCTGGAATATTGCTGAGTGCAGCGTTAAACAACAAACAAACAGACAAAACATCGAACTCAGACATAATGCTGACATGCTGTGAAATAACTGAAATACTGTTCAATGCTGAGTTAAACCAAACCCACTCATTGTTCCAATGCCACTGTTGAAATGGCTACATAATGTTTTGGGTGATTTATCAATCCCACAGCAGAGGATATTGAGAGCTCAGCCTTGCTGTTTTATTATGTCATCATTTCCCAAAGACAAAGAATGACACTAAGGATGTCAATCACTGGATTGTCTGGTCCAGACTTGATTATTACAGACCACCGTCATATAGCTGGAATAAGGCCCAGTGCGACTTTAAGCAACGGACAAACAATATTAATTTCACTGTGACTCAATTTGGAGCCTATAAGATCTAATATGATAAATTTGACTCAAGATGAGTACTATGTGACCATGTTGATAAAAGTATTTTCTGTTTTAAGAAGAAACTTTAATCCTGTCCTAAATATGTCCAAATTCCTGAGTCAGACAAGAAGGAAGTTGTAGATGTTGTAGAGGGATGATGATGTATGTTGATGTTGAAGACAGCTGACAGGGCCATCTTTAGGCTGACAAACTGTAGCATATGTGCAGGATGACTGGACCAGACAATCCAATAATTGATACGAGTCATGCATCAACCAACTCAGCGAGCATGATCACCTGATCGCCTCTTACGACAAGCATGGGTTGTTACAGACACATGGCTATTGCAAATCAGCTGTCTGTACTTGACAGCTGTTTTACCTGCACCAAGATTCTTCACATTCATCTGTCAAGTACAGACAGCTGATTTGCAATAGCCATGTCCTGTCAGTGGCACCCATGAAGATCCGGGTTAAATATGTCTGTAACAACCCATGCTTGTCGTAAGAGGCGATCAGGTGATCATGCTCGCCGAGTTGGTTGATGCATGTCATCGTATCAAAATTCCTTGGACTGATGCTTGTGTCAATTATTGGATTGTCTGGTCCAGAATCGATTATTTACAGACGACCTTCATATACCTGGAATATTGCTGAGTGAGCATTAAACAACAAGCAAACAAACACAACTTAAGGGGTGGACAGGGGCCAAGAGGTTAAGGTGTTGGGTCATCAGGCTGATGTCTGGTTCTAGTACTCGCATGTCAAGACCACCACCCTGGCCCAGTGCATGTGACCCGTGAAGATCCGGGGTAGAATAGGTCTTCAGGAACCCTTGCTTGCCGTAAAAGGCAACTATGCTTGTCGTAAGAGGCGACTAACGCGGTCAGGCAGTCAGGCAGTCAGGCTTGCTGACTTGGTTGATGCATGTCATCGATCCCAATTGTGTGGATCGATGCTCATGATATCAATCACTGGATAATGTAAATAAGTTTCATTTTTGTGTGATTTGTAGTGATTTTCTTCATTCTGTTCATTAATTATCAATACGAGCACGAGCGATTATCTGGTCAAGACTCTATTATTTACAGACCGCCGTCATATAGTTGGAATATTGCTGAGTGGAGCTTTAAACAAACAAACAAACAAACAATTTGAGGTGTATCAGACACTCTTCAAACATTTTGCAAGCAGGTGTGCACTGCCATACCTACCAGAAATTGAAAGCAGTTCAGATGACACTAAACATGCCCTCTTATTTTCAGGATAATGCAATTATGATCCGAAATGTTGACTACGAGACGGTGACAACGTTCGAGCCCCAGTATGTGGAAGCTATCAAGTGTCTGTGGGCAGACCAAGGCATCCAGGAGTGTTATGACAGACGTCGAGAATACCAGCTCACCGACTCTGCTAAATAGTGAGTAGAACCCCTGTCAAACATGGAACTGTTCGATATGAGCAGTGCTCAGTCAACGAGCCCACAAATATTTTAATATCCTTTGCCAGCTACAGCGACTTATGGATAGGGTGGTCAGACTCGGTGACTTGGTTAACCTGACTTGGATCTTTGCTCACAATATCAATCACTGGATTGTCAAACCGAGCCATGTTTATATTGCTGAGTCCGGCATTAACCAGCTAACATCTTAGTTGATAGCATGTCATCTTAACCTGACATGGATCTTTGCTCACAATATCAATCACTGGATTGTCAAACCGAACCATGTTTATATTGCTTAGTGTGGCGTTAAACAGCTAACATATCAGAAATATCTTTTTCCTTGAGCAAAAACTGGCCAGCTACAGCGACTTATGGATAGGGTGGTCAGGCTCGGTGACTTAGTTGATAGCATGTCATCTTAACCTGACATGGATCTTTGCTCACAATATCAATCACTGGATTGTCAAACCGAGCCATGTTTATATTGCTGAGTGTGGCGTTAAACAGCTAACATATCAGAAATATCTTTTCCTTGAGCAAAAACTCGTCATGCTACATTAAACTTGTCACTTGCAAATATTAACTGATTCATTAGCTCATGTTTTGTAGCAATCTTTGATTTGGTAGATTGCCAAAATCTAGCAATGCCCTCGCTGGAAACAAGTCCTGAAACTGCACATATTTTGAACCTCATATTTACTTTGATGTTTGTGTATTGCTGAGCGTATTATCTGAAGAATATGAACTGTGCCTTTGTAGATTAACAATAATAATCAATGACCTGTGATCATTTTTGAAACCTATGTTGAGTTCATCACAGAGTATTTTGTCTTTCAAAGTTTAATAGTTCTTGGATGGGCAATAAGCATTCGTCCTGAACTCAGTTGATGTCAAAGCCGTGTATTGTAGACTGAACAAAGAAAGTCTTGAATATTTTTTGAGGATATTTTTATGACATGGTGTTGCCCAGTCTTCATGATAAAAACAATGTCCCCCAAAATCACTAAATATTTTTTGTTAGGTATATCAGCGCCCATGTGTTACTGAGTATTCAGTTCTGTGAAGATTCCTTGTTACAATAGGCTTTCAGCAACCCATGCTTGTCGTAAAGGCGACTAAGGGAATCTGGTGGTCAGGCTCGCTGACTTGGTTGATGAATGTCATCGTATCCCAATTGCATGGATCGATGCTCATGATGTCAATCACTGGATTGTTTTATCCAGACTCAATTATTTACAGACCAACATCATTTGGCTGGAATATTGCTGAGTGCAGCGTAACAACAAACTAACAAAAACATCATGATGTCAATCACTGGATTATCTTATCCAGACTCGACTATTTACAGACCACCGTCCTATGGCTGGAATATTGCTGAGTGCGGCGTTAAACAACAAATAAACAAATGGAACACATCTTGACAGTTTTAGTGATTCTGTTTTCGTGATGCTGTTGATGAAACAAAAATGTGTTGCCTGAAATGGAGGTGTTCTGTGTTTCAGCTATCTGAACAATGTGGACAGAATAGCAGCAACTGATTACCTACCCACGTTACCTGACATCCTCCGTGTGAGAGTACCCACAACCGGCATCATAGAATATCCATTTGATTTGGATAGTATAATATTTAGGTGAGTAGAGACTTGGGGTGAATCGATACATCAGTGCACGAGTGCATCATGAGTTTTAATGTGACGATACGATACACATATTACTGTGTCGATAGTAAAGATACACACATGCTAAATTAAATTATTTACCGCTCATTTAATGACTTCCCAATCGTTTTTGTCCGTCAAATACTGCAAATTTTGTTGTAATTAGCGTTTCAAGTTCATAACTAATAATAGCCTTTTCACACACATGTCTAGGCTAGCCTTTTCCTTTGAACCTACTCTGAAATATTTATAGTCAAGAAGTTTCCATGAGATTTGATGAAAACATGCTGGAATATTGCTAAGTGCAGCGTAAAAAAAAAATAAAAAAAATATATGACACTGTTAACTTCCTTGCAAAGTTCAAACTTTACGTCAAGGGCATATTAGGAAATCATTCACTGTTTACAATTTCACAAAAAGTATAATTTGTAGCAGTCATCTTTTGAAAATATTTTCTTTTTGTTTGATTAATTACACTGTAGTTGAGTTTGACCGATCTTCAAAATTGACTCGCGATATGTTGTTGGAACAGTTCAACTTGTGCTGTGATTAAAAAAGTCTTCATTCTATATGTGTTTTCATGTCGAGGAATCGCCTAATCATCTCATCTCATTCCAGAATGGTTGACGTGGGAGGACAGAGGTCCGAGAGACGGAAGTGGATCCACTGTTTTGAAAACGTGACGTCCATCATGTTCTTAGTAGCCTTAAGTGAATATGATCAAGTGTTGGTAGAATCAGATAGTGAGGTAAGGAGGAGTTAGTGTTTCTCTGGTGAGGCTATCAATTGTATTTATTGTTCATAGGGCATTGGGGGCACGGGTGGCCCAGTCGTCTAAGGCGCCGCGATTCGCACTGCAGAGTTGCGTCCCTTGGGCACGCCAGAAACCTATGATTGTGGGTTCGAATCCCGGTTCGCCCCGATTATGTTTCTAGGTTTGTCAGCACCATACCCGTGCTTGTGGGTTTCACCGAAGTGGTAAACGTCTGAAACCTGCATCACTTCGGGCTTTCCTCCCACATTATCATGACACGCCGTGATATAACTGAAATACTTTTAAAAGCGGCGTTAAACCCAACTCACTCACTCACTATTGTTCATAGGGCATTGTGACGTGATTGAACACATTGTGGTCCAGGGCTCCATTCTACAAGGCGATTGTAGCGCAATGACAGTAGCAAGTCTATGTAAAAACTGTATCAGGATCTATACCGAAACGTTGCCTTTACGGTATTAAAGATGTATCTCTTTTGTTGATGAGGAAATTCTTGTCATCTACCCACGCCCAGCCAACGTAGTGTAATCAGTGCGCTTCTCAAGCAGTGGTCGGGGCAGCGATGCCAATGTCATGTAATGGTTGGAACAATGTCACATTTCGTCATGGTCTCTGCAGGAAGAGTCGTAGGAAACATTGTAAAATCAGAGCTGTATCATGTTGGCCAAGGTTTGTCAGATAATTCCGCGGTCGAATGAACGTACAAAGCAGGATCGGAATAAGGTATTACAGTGTTAGAAATTGGCACTAGTCCTGTAGTCCTTGCCAATTTGCCCAATAGTGAAGGTATCTTAAGGACTAGTAGAAATTTGCCATTTTTATGGGTTTTACTATACGTTATCATTATAAGGACTAGTGGACTTATACTGTTAGTTTCTACTGCTGCATTAAGAAGATTTGCATAATGTGAGATTGGATAAGTATATTAATATACAATTTAATGTAAAGTTTACAATTTTATCAAGTTAGTCGATGTATGTAACCCCAAAATATACAAATTGGTGTAACATGTTCTGTTTTGTTTGCCAGAACCGGATGGAGGAATCGAAAGCATTGTTCCGGACGATTATCACCTACCCGTGGTTCCAGAACTCCTCCGTCATCCTCTTCCTCAATAAGAAGGATCTGTTAGAAGAGAAGATTATGCACTCTCATCTAGTCGACTACTTCCCTGAGTTTGATGGTGAGTCCTGTAACATTTACCTTCCAAAACTGGCTTCCAAAGGACATATCCTGCAAAGAAAATGCATCAATGCCTTGCAAAGTATTGTGACTTCATTGGTTGCTGTGACCGCCTCCGTGGTCCAGTAGTAGAGCGTCTGCCTGGAGAGCGGAAGGGTTCGTTCCCCGGCCGCGTCATACCAAAAGACGTTAAAAGATGGTACTTGTTGTTACCCTGTCTGGCGCTCGGCATAAAGGGGCTAAAACAAGGACTGGTCGGCTCGGAGTCAGTATACTGTGTCTGAGTGGGGTATTCATGTTAAACTGCGGCATGGTATCTCAGTGGGCTAGCACTATAAATCGGCTATTAGTCCGGACTAGTACAAGCAGCCACACATACACATGCATGCATGTCGCTATAAGTGTAGTATTCTTGGACGTGACGTTAAACCCCATATCACCTCACCTCTTTCAACTTGTATATATATATTTGATATCATTTTATCATCCAAAACTGGCTCCCACAGGAGATATCGCTTGGATGAAGTCAAGCGATATCTACACTGTAGATATCGCTGCAATGAAATTGCATCACAATGCTTTGCAGACCATTGTGACGTCACAATCAAATGACATCACTAATGGCTCTGCTACTGAAGCTGTTAGCAGTACTTTTTTACACTGAAGACACTGCTTATTACTGTCTACAAACTGAAAAAAATTGAAGAATGATGTTGGATGTCTTTTGATTTCAAATATATCAACACTCTTTGATATATTTGATATCAAAAGACACTCAGGTGAGATACTGTCATTATATACTTTAGTATACTACTTGCCGGAGTTTAAGGGTGGGTCTTTCGGCACCTGTTACCTTTGAAGGTCACCCATGGGGATTCTGGATAAGAATATAGGTCCCCAGCTACCTATACTTGCCGTACCCGGGAAGATTCCGGGGTAGAATAGGTCTTCAGCAACCCATGCTTGTCATAAAAGGCGACTAATGGGAACGGGTGGTCAGGCTCGCTGACTTGGTTGATGCATGTCATCGATCCCAATTGCGTTGATCGATGTTCATGATATTAATCACTGGATTGTCTGGTCCAGACTTGATTATTTACAGACCGCCATCATATAGCTGGAATATTGCTGAGTGCGGCGTAAAACAACAAACCATCCAACCAACAAAGCTATACTTGCCATTTCAGGTGACTAATTGGATTTGGTGGTCAGACTTGGTTGATATTATTTGAATTGTTTTATTGAGATAAGTGCAGCGTTGGTTATATAATATATATGCAAGCCATATCCTTCTAAAATACAGATTCATTCCTCATTTTTGGGGTGAAGAGTTACATGTTTCATTTCGTTGCAGAAATAAATTTTGTGTGATAAAATCATTGAAGAAATGAATAGTGAAGTAATGCATTGTATTGTTCTGACCAGAATAGGTAGATCACATGATTGAAAAAAGTTCTGCATTTACTTTTTTTTGAAACAGTGAATGAATATGTTGAACATTCTCAAACTGAAAAGAACAAAGATAAACTGAGTCACAATAAATAAATATGTAAATTTCTTGCTCATGGTCTTCATACGGTTGATTCTGTCATCTTGGATACATTAGTCAAAGGGAAGTAACTCTGTCCGTCCCTACGTTAGCATTTTCTATGTTAATGAGGTATGTCGTCATTCTGTGATGCAAGCGGGGTGGAAGGGAGGTAACTCTGTCTATCCTGCTATACACAGCTGTTGAAATAAATTAAGTCTGGGTTAGAATTGATGTAATTATTCTGATTTTGATAGTAAAGCATTTTGGTTTTTATGAGATAATATAAAATGGCCAAATGCTGTTTTGTTTATGGACAGTACCTGGTATTAATTCATCCATAGTTGTCTGAAACAGTGTCCCAAGTAATAATGATACATCGTTGGCTCTCCTGTTTTATTTATTTATTTATTTATTTTTTTATTTTTTTATTTTTTTATTTTTTTATTTATTTTTTTATATATATATATATATGGATACGGGTAAATACAATATTTGGCTTTCAGAAGGTAGGCAATATGTGCTCATTAACTACAGTTTACAATTGTTTTCTCTGAATGATCCCCACTGACTAAGTTGCTGCTGCGTCAAAGTTTACTATGACATCAGTAGGCACCCATTATGTCCAACAGTTAATGATTTATAAAATAATCTCACCTGAAGAGTGGGGAACAGACAAGTGGGGACTGTTTGTATTTGTATGATTATATAATTTTTTTATTTCACATGACAGTAATTATGGTAACAATGATCGCTTGTGAATATTTTCTTAGCCATAGGGGTACCCCGACACATACTACCGACGCTTTTATTTTTGCCGTTTGACAGTCAGGTAGCACACTTTTTTGTAATTTGTAAACAGCATGACAGGTTTTACAATGGTGCGTGATGATAGCCTTTACAATCAAACCACCTATAATATTTGTCATTGAGAACGAACTACATTTGGTTGGGTTTTATTTTTCCTCAACACGGTTGTGTGGTCATGGTTATTGGAAGAGCATCAATTTTGAAGGCTGTTATTATTGTTGCAGCACATCACTGATGCTTTACTGTTGTGTTTCAGGTCCAAAGAAAGATGCTGGTGCAGCACGCGAGTTCATTCTTAAAATGTTTGTGGAGCTCAACCCTGACCCGGACAAAATAATCTACTCGCACTTCACTTGTGCTACAGGTGAGCCTTGCTCTGTCGCTTGTACTCCGTCATTGGACATAGACATAGGCTCAGTGATATTAAAATGTTATATATTTTCAGATCCGTGAAGATCCGCGGTAGAATAGGTCTTAAGCAACCCATGCTTGCTGTAAAAGGCGACTATGCTTGTCGTAAAAGGCGACTATGCTTGTCGTAAAAGGCGACTATGCTTGTCGTAAAAGGCCACTAACGGGATTGGGTGGTCAGGCTCGCTGACTTGGTTGATGCATGTCACCGATCCCAATTGCGTGGATCGATGCTCATGATATTAATCACTGGATTGTCTGGTCCAGACTCGATTATTCACAGACCGCCATCATATAGCTGGAATATTGCTTAGTGCGGCGTTAAATAACAAACCAACCAACTATATATTTTCAATATGGTCACTGGACAGTTATACATTCCCACTATGCTTCTGTTTTCTGTGAATTTTAATGTGGACAAGAAAATATAAACTTCATGTAAATATTTGGTATTGGGAAGGTCACTTGTAATGATTACTCACAGATTGGTCAAGAAGTTAGTTGGGGGTGCTTAAAACGGTAAAAAGGGCAGTCGGGTAGCCTAGTGGTTAAAACGTTCACTCGTCATGCCGAAGACCAGGGTTCGATTCCCGACATGGTTACAATGTGTGAAGCCCATTTCTGGTGAACCCCGCCGTGATATTGCTGGAATATTGCTAAAAGCGGCGTAAAACCATACTCACTCACTCACTCACTCACTAAAACGGTAAATATGGGGCTGCCACATCATCCTAAAGTTCATTGCATGTTTCATTTTGTTGCCATTTTCCATATTTTTTGTGCATTGTGTTAAAGTATTATGATTTTTATATATTTTTTTGAAAATGGAAATAAAAACGATGTGCAGCAGACTTTATGATGATGGGGTGGTCCTGAGAACCAAGACTATTATTTTATTTAGCCTGGTCCCTGTCCTATTAATGTCAAAACAGATCGATCTCTTAATCCTGTTCCTCAAGTTGATCTTAGGGACCGAAAAAAATAATTATGCTTCAGGCTATCGAATAAAAAAGGAATTTGCCTGCCATAAAAATGACATTGTTGCAAGGTGTTTTTCTTAAAAAGGAATTCAGATTCATAGTTTTAAATAATATTCATAGTTTTAAATAATATAAGTGCAACTTCTTTTGTAGCTAGGGGGCCCGGGTGGCCCAGTCGTCTAAGGCGCCGAGATTCGCTGTGCAGAGTTTCCCTTGGGCACGCCAGAAACCTATGATTGTGGGTTTGAATCCCGGTTCACCCCGATTATGTTTCTAGGTTTGTCAGCACCATACCCGTGCTCGTGGGCTTCACCGAAGTGGTAAACGTCTGAGACCTGCATCACTTCGGGCTTTCCTCCCACATTAAGCTGACATGCCGTGATATAACTGGAATAATGTTAAACGCGGCGTTAAACCCAACTCACTCACTCACTCACTCACTCTTTTGTAGCTGTAGCTGAAAATATTATTTTATCTGGATACAAGTGGCGGCGGGGTAGCCTGGCTTTAGCGTTCATTACGCTGAAGACCCGGGTTTCGATGCCCCACATGGGTACAATGTGTGAATCCCATTTCTGGTGTCCCCCGCTCTGATATTGCTGAATATTGCTAAAAGCAGCATAAAACCAGACTCACTCACTCACACACTATCTCGTTACAAAATCCCAGGCATAGATGCTTAAATTGTTTGCCGGGGGGCTGAGCCCTGATGGGATGTAAGAGTTGTTCTTATTTGTCCCCCTTTGTTTCAGATACGGAGAACATCCGATTTGTATTTGCGGCGGTGAAAGACACCATACTTCAGTTGAATCTGAAGGAGTACAATCTGGTCTGAAGACGGGTTGAGCCGGGCAGCTTAAAGTTGGCAATTAACGTCTTTTTGTGAAAGTGTCCTTGATCGCTGATCGATTCATGATGCAGTTGATTCAGCCAGTACTACTGGTGTCGCCATTACGTCAAGTCTCCTTTGACCTGCACAGTCCCCCCCTCCCCCCCCTACCTTGAAACGATTGATTCCTGTGCGTACATTGTGAACGCAGATGATCTGTGACAAGCGTCTATCTCTGTATCTCTCTCGCACTTGCCATCATCATCAATATAGATGGATGTTTGTGATATTATCTACTGTCCCAGTCAGAGGATGACCACGTTACCAGTTTGACGCATGGAGACTGTTCGGCTTGGAACATGGGCTGGGGAGGGAGGGAGGGGATGGGAATGAGGTTTTGAAGCCATGTAGCATCGTGTAGTGGGGTTTTGGCTTTCTCCGACAGCACAGAACTACCACTCGCCCAGGATCCGCGCCAGAGTATCAGTCAACCTTCATTCAACCTGTTTTCTTCCTCTGTCACAATTTTTTTGTTTCCACCTGATTGCAAGCCACGTGTGACACCCCGTCTGACTGGCAGACGCTAAGTGGCAGCATCTGTTGTTATTGTTGTTGAATACAAAACCATGGACAACTTTCTGCCATTTTGATAATTCAACAACACAACCACCTCTTTCTTACCCAGCTGGGGTCGTCATCTCACGGACTGAAGGTACGATCCAGGAAATGTCGAAGAGGGGGAGGGAGAAAGGAGAGCGGGCCAGTCGCACTTAGCGACTGTTTTTAAGTGCGACTGATCTATTTCCAGCTGTCTAGCTGGCACTGAAATTTACTTGAAGGGCATGTTTATTTGTGAGTCCACACCGAGGTGAAACTGCTCAGCAGAGGGCCCAGGATCATTTAGAAGGGCTTGCAGGCATGTGGGAGGTCGACCTTGACCCTCCTGTGTCGTCATGGTAACAAGTTCACAGAGGAGGAAGACGTGAAATACATACTGACTTTGTCCCTCTGAAGGTGTATACAGGGGCACAGTACGGATCGTCTACGACGCCTGCACGTCGTACAGTTCCCACTTGTAGGTACAGAAAATTGTACATAGCTTTTAACAGTGGACAACACTTGTGTTTGTTCCTTAACGGAAAATGTGTCAACTTCTTATGTTTGTGGTGTCAGCTTGTGTTTATATCTAAGTACAACTCCCCAGTGGCTGCGTGCTCTGAGCAATACACCAGCAACCCGTTTTGTTTACCTTTCTAACCAGCCTCCGCCTTGTTCACTGTCGTGAACAGGGTCAGTGTAGGTCAAATTACTGAAATTGGACATCACCTTTTCTGTGGTGTATTTCTCCGAGCACTTAGATTGCAAACACTGATCACTACTGACCATGAGAATGATAATGTACGTGCAAAAGAGGACTGTATAGTAATTGTTGTGTGAAAAGTTCTTATGTATAACTGTGCTGCCACAATTTTCATACCACCTGGATCTAACAGGCTGTTATTCGCTTTTGATACATATTGACCCTCTATGTGTAAGAAAAGTAGTGTTAATATTTTGATGTCCAGATGTGTGAATGTTTATAATTATTATGGTGAATTTGATTATAATAATTATTATTATTACTATTATTGTAATTATGATGGTTTATCACCGTGGAGATATCCCAAGAAGGTCTGATTCAGCACATGGGTGCCTCGTGGAGCATCTTGTCTCACGGCTGTGGAGTCAGAACCGAAGGACTTCGGGGCTGTGTAGTTGTTCTAGCACTGACCAAGTTGACCGGCGTCCAGGGCTCTCCAGGAAATATGTGCTGGAAGGAGTACCCTTTGGACAGGATTCGCATGAGTGACACAAACCAACTATTTGTCTTGTGACCGGCATTTTATGCTTACATTTTGAAAATGGCTGTATCTGGCATTTAACAATTGACTGTGTCCTGGGCTTATGATACACGATGAAGGAGAGGTGCAACGTCCCCCTGTTGTCCAAGCCTACCCCATTGACCAGAAGACCAAGGCTAGTGGCTGTCTGCAGACCGTGTGTTGACTGACCATGGCTCAACACTTCAATACTGCCACAGGCTGCTGTTTCTACAGTCATTGACTGCTCTAGCAGTTGGTGGAAAACCAGTGATAGCAATTTTTGTCAATAATTTTTGGTTTGAAAGAAACTGATATTGCTTCGTATCACAAGATATTCATATATCCTAGACTTATTGTGTGTTTGGATGAGAGTTGTCTCCCTTTGACGTTTTTACTTTGATAGAATTAGTTTGAAATTTCGAAAAGATCATTTTATGCCAAGGCTCGAGTTTGAAATGGCGTGTTTGCTTCTTTGTTATTTTCCATTGTTGAAAAGGGGGAAGGGGAGATAATAGTTTGAAAGGGAGACAATCCTTGCCAAATGAAATTTGTAATGTATGTATACGTATGCATGTGCAATTAGAGTTGTGCCCCTTGACTACTGGATGTGTTGTATGAGTGTGTGTGCATGTGGCCTTTATTGAGGTGTTTGTCTCCCTGTAGATCCGACAACCGATACTGGCGGAAGGACTTCATGGGTGAAATAGGCACAGAGCACACACAGTTATGACCACAAGCCTGCATTCTTTCTACTGGCTTATCAAAGCTATAAGGCAGCATACAGACTCTGAGAAATTCACTTAGGTCAGTTTCTGACTCTAGGCAAAAAGTCACCAGCATGCATGGGTTAGAATAAAGTAGCTGGTAGCACATCCAGTAACAATACCTCCATTGTGCAATCTACTAAGCCTTATCAAGATGGGTCGTTTAAATTTAGCTGTTTAATCCCGTTCATACTTAAAATTGACTTAATTTTTTTTCCGTACTTTTGATGACGTTATTACTGTTGGTGTAAAGTATCCAAATTGAGGTAACGTTATAAATCTTTGAGACTCCAAATGACAGGTGTTTTCCAAATGGACTCGTCCTACTTAAACTAGTTAGATGGTTCTTTTTGTACTGATTACCGAATTCAAATTTTCACATGAACTAATATCTATGCTGACAACTCCCTACTATATGTTCTTTGCGTGTATGATGACTTGTGTATTTCTGTTGTACGTAGTAGTGTTTCTAATTGGTTTCATCAGAGCTGAATTCAGACGAATTTGAAAACCTGAGCATTTGTATGTGTGTGTACATTTTATATCAGAATTAATCCAGCATGAATGTCGTGAGCCCTGAGTTGCTTCTGTATGTGAATTACTGTAAGTCAAGACTTTTTCAAATTTACGCAATTGCCTTTGGACTAGACAAAATTGTCACCCTCAAACCATGTGTACAGCTTCTCCAGGCCGACTGTTGTCACAGAGAGCTTGTACAGCTTCTCCAGGCCGACTGTTGTCACGGAGAGCTTGTACATCTTCACCAGGCCGACTGTTGTCATGGAGAGCTTGTACATCTTCACCAGGCCGACTGTTGTCACGGAGAGCTTGTACATCTTCACCAGGCCGACTGTTGTCACGGAGAGCTTGTACATCTTCACCAGGCCGACTGTTGTCATGGTGAGCTTGTACATCTTCACCAGGCCGACTGTTGTCGTGGAGATGTGATACACATGGCTGTATTTTAACTTTTGCAATTGCATAAGAAGGTAGATTTAATTCGTTCGGTGAAGTGTGCCACCTGTAGACTCCTCCAATCATTAGATGTCTGTACACAGTGTGTGTACCTGTGTTTAACACAAGCCGGGAGAGAGCTTCATGCATGTACAGCGATTCAACTTGATACATTTGTGTATAAATATATAAATACCTTCTTCATGTCTGTGGGAGGCTGAGTGATTGTGTCCCGTTTTAGAATAATTACTCGTAACAGGTGGAAGGTAAGTAGCGACTTTTCTACACGGAACATTCACATGATGTGCTCAACTAAGCCACTGGAATATAGCCCTGTTACCACTTGTCACCATGGGAGGAATGGTATTGTATGTACTCTGTAACACCGCACACAAGTCTGTTCAGTTGCCAGAGTCCCTTTGGATTTGTGGACGATATTTGAGATTTTTATATCTGAGAAAGGATGCTCGTTTGTCCTCTCCCAGCGTTTGGTTTCTTGAGACTTTTGGGTTTTGGAAGAGAAAATGGCTGAAACATTGCTAAGAGTACAGCTTGTTTTCCATTTGTGCTGCCTGAACCGACTTGTGTGTGGCTTTCTACAACTCGCATCATTTGATCATGACTGATGTTTCTTCATGGAATGCATCCTGTATTTGTGGCTTACTTCTGGTGATTGAGTGATAGGTCCCATGGCTTCGGTAGCAGCCTGTGTGTTGATTTCATTGTTTAACTAGGTGTTTGTGATTGCAAGGGGAACAGTTGTCTCCCTTACATAGTTCTACAGAGTTGTGTCCCTTTACACTGCCCACTTTTGTTGCCATTGCCAAAATGTAGTGTGGAAAATAGGACACTGTTTTGAAACCCATGTAATTCAATTTAAATAACCTCCTGAACAGTAATGTCAAAATTGTCTCGGACCTCAACTACGTTTTGAGAGAAACATAATCACCCATCTTTGTATTGTGGTATATATGTTAGTGATAATGCGATGTTACTTTAATTGACCTAGTTCAATCCCAGAATAACTACCAACAACTAGTGCCTAGCGTTATCTGTTTGTCAACTCTTGTGTCGCAACCATGGACTTGTTCATTATAGGAAGCAGGATCTTTTTCTGTGCCAGTGTCCTATTGTTCAATAGTGTAACTGTGATTTTGTAACAAGTTTGACATGTTTGTTTGAATGGGCCAGGTGCAACATATATTCTTTCTGCTAGAGAGACCTGGATTCCCCCTTCGTCCCACACTGGTTGGATCTAGTTGAGACTGGTCAGATCTAGTTGAGACTGGTCAGATGCACCCAATGGTGTCTCTTGATCAGTGTTGCCATGAGGTGACATGCTAGATCTTTGCTGTTATGGGACATCCGGGGTAAAGCAGAGCCTCTCTTGATAATATTGGAGCAGTTCACACTGAAATGTAGGGACTATTTGAATTATTTGGATTTTGCATAATGTAGGTACAACTCGAGTGTTTGAAACTGTTTTTCTAGTCTTGAGGGAACGGTGGGTCAGATTTACAAATTATGGAAGATGTTCTTCTAACTTTAGACCCCCCTGCCTCGCAGGTAAAGTTAGGAGTGCCATTTCAAAATTTGAAAATCTGAAAAGTAACCTCGGTGACTTGATTTTGGAAGACGCCATAATGGACGAAATCTCCTTTAATAAACCCCCCAACAAATAAGACTGGAAATAGCGAGTAACGCCTCTGGACAATGACAAGGGTGCTGTTTTGTGAGGACCAGGATGGTGTCCTGGAGCCAGTGAAGTGTCCTTTTGGGCAGCATGGCATCACTGTGACCTTGGACACACATGGCATCCTGGTGACCTTGAACTTGCAGGACATGGTGTGTTAGGATTAACATGGCATCATGGCACCCTGAGACTGACGTGAGGCTACAGTGCAATATGGTGATTACTGTTCCCAGCTTTCTGTTGGTCAAGCTGTCCCATCAATAGAGGAAGTTGTGTCCCGTTTCTGAGTGGTAATCTGCATAATTTGACCAAGTGCTTAACTTGAATCTCATATTTCATGGTGTTTTGTCCAAACATAATACTAATGCGATCTCAGAAAAAGATGTCTGCATTTTGTTGGAAAGCTGGAATTTTTAAATCCCCGACTTGTAATGGCATTTGTTCTAGCATATTTGAAACAGAGTTTGGGAACAGATTGGGAGGCATAGAAAGTGTTAAATGTGCAACTGACAACCTACTGTAAATTTGTATGTAATATGAAATGCTTGTTTATTATTTAATAATTGGAAGTTTGCTCAATATGAACTGCATTTTGTAGACTGATTATGAATATTGTTACTTGGAGGCAGCAGTATCAGCTGTGTCTCTCCCCCCACCAGTTGTCTCCCTTGGCCTGGCTACTTGCCGTGGCCTGTCCAGTCTGTTGCTCTGTATAAAGGCTCAAGTTTGCACTATCTGGTTATTTCACAGTGTTCATTTTCTCTGTAAATGTATTTGTACCACAGTGCATGTATGTAAGTATGTATGTATGTATTCTCGGGGTCCTGTTGCTATGGCAACAGGTACTCTGTTCAACAAGTTTCTGGGATTTGTTTTGCATATTGAAGAGCCATTTTAAGCTCCAATATGGAGTACCAGTGGGTTAGACGCGGACCCTATCAGGTGATCATTGTATTAAGAGCAGACAGTGTTATTAATGTTGATAATCATGGTAGGGAATGTATTTTGTAGCGCTTTTTGTAGTCTCGTTGCCATGGAAACGTGATGCATGGGTGCGTCATCAAAAACTCTGTTACGCAATTTATCTTATTGACTATGCGCCAATGATGTGTCATTTTGTTTGAATGATGTGAAAATAATCTCATTTTTTAAATACAACATTAAAAAGTGGCACTGACTTCTGTGTTTATTTGTGTTTATTATCGAAGATGGATGTTTACTCAGAATGTTGTGGAGTGATGTTCAAGGTGTCACGGACAAGCAATCGTTATTCAACATCATTTCAAATGTTCAGTTTAGACTCTGGCTATGGGTGGGAGGCACGGGTGGCCCAGTTGGCTAAGGCGCCGCAAATCGCTGTACAGAATTGCGTCCCTGGACAAGCCAAAAAAACTATAATTGTGGGTTCGAATCCCGGTTCGCCCCGATTATGTTTCTAGGTTTGTCAGCACCTTACCCGTGCTCGTTGGTTTCACGTAATTGGTAAACGTCTGAGACCTGCATCACTTCGGGCTTTCCTCCCACATTAAGCTGACACGCCGTGATATGACTGGAATAATGTTAAAAGCGGCGTTAAACCCAACTCGTTCACTCATTGGCTATGGGTGGTTGCATGTCGGAGATGGGTGTTGTGTAGCCCTGTAATTCAAGCGTTGGTTTCTCACACAGGATCTGGCTTCGATCCCCACATACATACAGTGTGGTCTTTCTGTTAAAGAAGTGGCTCATCAAGAGTAAGAACGAGTATATTTCTCTTAATGCGTATAATGCATGGAGTCAATTATTTGAATCCTCTCGAATGTGTTGAAAGTGGGCAAACCACGTCACAACACCGCATGGATGATCCAGTGCTTTGAGAACCATGAAGTTCCGGAGTAGAACAGGTCTTCAGCAACCCATGCTTGCAGTGAAAGGCGACTATGCTTGTCGTAAGATGCGAATAAAGGGATCGGGTGGTTAGGCTCGCTGACCTGGCTGATTCATGTCATCGTATCCCTATTGCGTGTATCGATGTTACATGATGTCAATCACTGGATTGTCTGGTCCAGACTCGATTATTTACAGACCGCCGTCATACAGCTGGAATATTGCTGAGTGCGGCGTTAAACAACAAACAACAAACAACAACAACCAGTGCTTTGATCCTGTGCCGTTACCTCCCTTGTTCAAATCCCTGATTTGTGATGCATGGGTCACATTTGTTAATTTTATGGTCATACAGATTTTCCAAACCAATAATTTATGGTCGGTCGAAATAGCAATACATTTTTAATTTTTTTTATTTGATATAATGTGTTTGGTTCACACAGATTAGTGCGAAATAAGGGAAATACTGTGCAAGTGTTGGTTGTTAAGTAGTTTACAGCAATTTATAGTGGTAGAGCGTCCGCCCAGAGAGCGGAAGGTCCGGGGTTCGATTAAAAACCATACCAAAATTCGTTAAAAGATGGTACTTGTTGTTACCTTGTCTAGCGCTCGGCATTATGGGGCTAAAACAAGTCCGTATACTCTGAGAGGGGTCTTCACGTTAAACTGCTGTATGGTATGGCATGGTGAGCTAGCAGTATAAATCGGCCGGATAGTACAAGCAGCCACACGCACACACGAGCATGCATGTCGCTAAATAAATGCAATAATCTTGGACGCGTCGTTAAACCAATTTTCCCGTCACCTCGCCTCACAACAGAGGCAAAGGGGTTCTAAATCATTTACAGTGACCGAAACAATGCCCAAAGCAGTATCAGACGAAACTATAAACCGTCCTATTTATTGAACTCCAGTACATATGACTGTATATTTCAAATTCATCATGTAATATAGTCCGTAAAATAATATATCATATGATGGCTAGTTATCCATGCGATGAAGCACATCTAGGACTCGTGTCTCCTGAGGCAAGTGACTTTGTTCGAAATATGCCCCTGTTCACCCAGCAGTAAATGGGTACCCGGTAGGATGAGATGGTATTCTGGTTGTTAAGCTTCTAGCACCTCACAGGCAGCTTAGGTTGCATGATCCACAGGGAGCTGAGAATGAAACAGTCGAATGTGACACACACTGATCCATTGACCGGGGTAAACATGTTAGCACTTTGAGCATACACGTTGTGTTAGGAGTTGAGCGCAATATGAGTACACACATTTTTATTATTACATGGTTTCACGATCCGATAAATATGTAAATGAGGCCATCTAGCAGGAACTACTTTCAGTAAGCTCTGTAAACATATGTTGTGTATACTTTCTCAACAAACTATAGCAAAATGTTTCCTAAGTGATTAGTTAGTGGTTTCCCGAAGTGCAAGGGCTTATGTAAACAAACATGGCTGCAAAACATTTGGCACCATGCCATAAAAGGACTCAGGGCTTGTATTCCTATGCAGTTTTTGTGAATAGCAATATGTCTTTAGATTCCAGACCCGTGAAGATTCTGGGGTAGAATAGATCTTCAGCAACCCACACTTGCCGTAAAAGGCGACTATGCTTGTCGTAAAAGGCGACTAACGGGATCGGGTGGTCAGGCTCGCTGACTTGGTTGATGCGTGTCATCGATTCCGACTCGATTATTTACAGACCGCCGTCATATAGCTGGGATATTGCTGAGTGCGATGTTAAACAAAAAACAACAACAACAACAACAACAACAACAACAACCAAAGGCTGATGCACATGCGTTGTATTCCTCATACACACAGTCTGCTAATAATCTCTATAATGTTTCTTCCATCATGTCTGTATCTAGGATTTCAAAACAAGTGCCAGTGGCAGGCAAATTTGGGATTAAACAGTATTTTGTCCTGTAGAGGAATTTTTTAATCCTTTCTCACAAATCTTTTTTAAAAACATTCGTGCACAAACCAATTTTTGAATTCCCTACATCAAACTTGCTAGAACTGTCAACAACTTTGTGCCTACCTTTAAAGGTTAGAGAAAAAATAACGTCAATTACGTAGAGAGTAAATACCTGGTTTTGCCATCAGCATTGGTGTACAGTACTTATTATTATTAGCAACAAAAGACAAGACTGTTTCTTGCGATTGTCTTAGCGAGACATGGCGGTGACGCTAGGGGAAGGGAGGTAATTGGGATTTTATACGCGTTTTATCCACTATGATATATACCTTCCCACCATTTTGCAAATTTCTTGACACCGTTTTGAAAAATCTGCATGAAACGACCACACATATTTTATAACGAAACGTGAATGCGAATTGTTTTCCGTTACAGTAATTCGCATATTAACCACTCCTTTTTATTATATTATCCCGGGTTAGGGTTTGCCTGGTCGTCTTCACTGGTCAGAGTTGCGTCCCTTTGACACGCCCAAAACGTATGATCGTTGGCAATAATCCCAGTTCACCCGATTATGTTCTAAGTTTGTCAGCACCATACCCGTGCTCGTGGGTTTCACCAAAGTGGTCAATGCATGTCATATCTCATTTGCGTAGATCTCCGCTCATGTCAATCACATGATTGTATTGTCCAGACTCGATTATTTTCAGCCCGCAGTCATATAGCTGGAATGTTGTTATGTCAGCGTTTAACAAATCTATAAAATGATGTGAGTTTTGAAATGACCGCTTCTGATACTCTTCGACAACTGGTATATATACTGATACAAACTGAAAACGCATAATTAACTGACCTGTGAAGATCCGGGGTAGAATAGGTTTTCAGCAACCCATGCTTGTCACAAGAGGGGACAAACGGGATCGAGTTGTCAGGCTCGCTGACTTGGTTGATGCATGTCATAGTGTCCCAATTGCGTGTATCGATGCTCATGATGTCAATCATTGGATTGTCTGGTCCTGACACGATTATTTACTTACCGCTGTCATACAGCTGTAATACTGCTGAGTGCGGCAAAAAAAACCAACCAGACATAATTCAACTCGAAATGAATGACAAGACAACGATTTTGACAGTTTCAGTTTCTCGGAACACAACAAATGAGATTCAAAAACCTAACGACGACATTGTTGTGTTTGATTATCTCTTACTAAATACCCAGAACGACTTAGTATTTAATTCTTGTGGCTAGTTTGCCAACTGTTATATAAATTCGAATATGCGTTTTCAAAGTATGTCAGAAAACAAATACAATCAATTCATAAGAAAGGAAACAAATGGAAGTAATTAATATATATTATGGGTTTAAAGTAATTCAAACCTCCTCGGTCAAAACTACAATCGTTTCGCCCGCACCTATGACAAAGCTGCATGCTTAGTTTGTTGTTGTTGTTTCTTTGCTGTTTAACGGCACTCAGCAATATTCCAGCTATATATATGACAGCGGAAAGTAAATAATCGAGTATGGACGAGATAATCCAGTGATTGACATAATGAGCATCAATCCACGCAACTGGGATTCGATGACATGCATCAACCAAGTCAGCGAACCTGACCACCCGATCCCGTTTGTCGCCTCTGAAGACCTATCCTAATCCGGATCTTCACGGGTCCGACTAAAATGAAGATCTATTTGTCAAGCGTTATCACATGGATGTCACGACATGCTTGTTGCTACTGGTGTTCCTGTTCGGGTCACTGTTATTTGCAGGCCGTCGTGTTACATCGTGTTACATCGTGTTACAGATTGGATATTGCTGGCTGCAGCTTCAAGCAACAAATATTCACGCATTCATGTTTTCACCTCTGGTTAAAAAGATCCAGGAAACTTTATTTCAAATATTATTTCTGGGTTTCCTTTCCCATATAAACCGTCGAAATAACGAAACAAATTATGAAACAGTTTTATTCCGAAACTATTGACACTTTCTCGACACAATCATTGCAACACATAAGCAATATATATAGGTAAAATAGTAAAAAACAATCGTGTGTCAGGGTTATATCACAGGGAGTGGAGGCGAGATTTAGTCTGGGGTGCGGGCAGGGGCTGTAGGCTACAACTCCGACACAATGGCGTGCATGGACACCCAGAGGTCCTCGCCGGTTGGGATGATCTCACTGGCCGGAAGCTCAAACCCGGAGTTGGCGTTGGCGTCGGGTCTCATCTCGTAGGTCATGGCGTACGGGATGTTGGCGTTGAGGCGGGCCCAATCTGAGGACGTCCCGGATGCAACGTCTGCAAGCACAGGGGCCGATAATAATAATAATAATAATAATAATAATAATAATAATAATAGAAATGATGATGATGATGATGATGATGATGATGATGATAAAAGTCCATCCATGGGACGACCCAGAATATGTAGAGGGAAAATGATAAGTACAACATTCTTAGGAATAGGCCTGTATACATTCTCAGACATATCGAGGCCAACAAACCTGATCTTGACCTTTTTGATAATTCTAACGAAATCATTTATATCATTATTCTCTGTCCCTTTTGTAACTAATGTGATTGATTCAATTTAATCTGTAGACAACAACAACAACAACACCACCAACAACAACGGTGCAAGTACTTTTAGTGATGACAAGGAGGCGTCATTCTGCTTGTCCCTGTCGGTGACGAATGAAACAAATAGGTAAGGCAGCACTTACAGAGTATCTCAGGTGCTGTTCCTACAACGTACTCCTTCTGGTAGGGGAGGTTCCTGATGGCATCCTTGGCGAGGTTCGTGATCCTCCTCTGAGGAGAGATTCGTAGTGAGATATAGAGATGATGATGAGACATGAGGTGATGAGAGATGAATTAGTGAGTGAGTGAGTTGGGTTTAACGCCGCTTTTAACATTATTCCAGTCATATCGCCAGCTTAATGTGGGAGGAAAGCCTGAAGTGGTTTTACGCAGCTTTTAGCAATATTCCAGCAATATCACGGCGGGGCACACCAAAAATGGGCTTCACACATTGTACCCATGTCGGGAATCGAACCCGGGTCATCGGCGTGACGAGCGAACGCTTTAACCACTAGGCTACCCGACCGCCCCACATACACAAGAATACTGTCCGGTACATACTTTTCAATATTTTCAATACACCACATACTGTATGAAACAAAAGAATTCCTTACTAAAGTAAAACGAAACTGAATAAAGCAATGATCTATCCCTATATGCAAACATTGGATATCCTTTGTATATGCCAAATATACAAAACTGTATATTTTTGGAAATACCAAATATTCAAAATTGTATTTTTGGGGTCATATCAAATATACAAACTTGTGTATTTTTGGAAATACCAAATATACAAAATTGTATATTTTGGATATATTGGAATTTTCCCTTGTGGCTTCTGTGTGTATTCGTGCTAGGGAACTCCCATGAACTGGTCCGTCGATGTTTACGTCATTTCAAAAATACAGTTGCGTTAATAACGTTTGAACGTCAAATTGTTTCTTTCATATGAACGTCAGTTTCGCGGTCATGTGAATATCGAGTAAATTTCAAATTTAAACATTCCATTGGGTTTGACATCGCTTTCAAAAGTATTGCATTTATTTAGAGACGTACGTGCGTGCGTGCGTGTGTGTGTGTGCGCGCTTATACCAGTCCGGAATTATGCAGGTGCTACCCCACTGAGATACCACGCCGCAGTTTAACAAGGATATCCCACTCAGACACATTAAACTGGCTCCGAGCCGACCAGTCCTTGTTTTATCCACTATGTGCCGAGCGATAGGCAGGGTAATAACAAGTACCATCTTTCAACGTCTTTTGGTATGACGCGGCCGGGGATCGAACTACCGACAATCCGCTCTCCGCTGCATCAAGCAGACCACACCAGATACGTACAATCTCAGCATTATTATCCGGCACGGTGTTCTCGGCGTATCCGTAGGGCACGAGAAGGTACTGGGAGTAGGAGTGGATGGAGAGGTAGGCGGAGATGGGGCCCTCGTTGCTCTGGATACTGGAGACCCAGTCTCGGATATTTCTCGTTTCCGCCTCGGAGAAGACGCTGGCGCCGCGGAAGGTGTCGGAAAAACAGCTGGAGGAAGATCCGGTGCCTGGAGAGGAAGACAAAACACATCCCTCGATATATACACTACTGAAGACTAAAAAACCAAACCGTCATTACATATCAATATCAATATCAATATCAATATCACTGACGTCATTGCATTCCAGAGTGACCTTATGTAATTCGATGAGAACATGTGGAAAGAGTGCAAGAGAGATTTCAGTCTCATTAAAATCAGATCTTAGTGCTCGCCACAACACAAGGATCTGAGGACATCCCTTTACAGGTCGTGTCAGAACGACCTTTCACCCGACCGACAAGAGCGTCGCTTACGAGATCGCGAAAGTTACAGTCTGGGTGTGTTTTCTGATCATGCAACCACGCACAGATAAACACGGGTTATTTCTAACGACAGTTAAGAGCTGTACGACCGATTCCGTCAAAAATAATCTCGCTTCAATAGGATCAACTTTTGAAACGGTGGAAACTTGCTAAAGCACGGGGAAGTGCAGCCATGCATTCTCGACCATCTATTTGACATTCCAGAATTGTCTATAAATTTGTTCAGTTTCAAATTTTGAATCGAGATCCTTGTTAACATTTTAAAAGCGTAGTCTGGAATGGAAGCGACTTTCCATAGCCCTCGGGAAGTACAGCCATACCATCTCGGCCTTCCGTTATACATACCAAAATTTTCTATATAAGGTGTACAAATTCAAATTTTGAATTGAGAACATATTTTGCAAAGCTTAGTAAGGAATGGAAGCCGCCATTTTAAAATTAGTGCCTTGAAGCTTGAGAAAGCTGTTTCTGATTGGCTGATGTTGACTTCCTGTTTCCATTTCATTGGTCGGTCAAAGTTCGCGACATGACCTGACCTGTAACGGGAGGTCCTCAGATGTTCGTGTAGCGGTAGCGAGCATGAAGATCCAATTTTAATAAGAAAACATTATCAGTATAAAATATTTGTATTTACAAACAATAATCGTTTTAAAATTGGTGGGTGTTTTTGAGTGAGTATTCCGATGCATTACACTTTAAATAATATACATTGCATCGAATTATTATACTTAACACACCTGCAAATCTGAAAACACAGTAAACTACGGTTATAACGAACACGCTTATAACGAACAGACGGATATAACTAACAATTTTTTTGGTCCCGACTTTTTGCTGTAGTTATGCTGTATATATGCTTATAACGAACTACGGTTAAAACGAACTAAAATTAGCAGTCCCTTTGAGTTCGTTATAACCGTACTTTACTGTACATACTGTTTATCTCCTATTTGAAGCAACCAACTAATTCATATATGGTCTTGATAATACAGTAAAGTACGGTTATAACGAACTCAAAGGGACTACTAATTTTAGTTCGTTTTAACCGTAGTTCGTTATAAGCATATATACAGCATAACTACAGCAAAAAGTCGGGACCAAAAAAGTTGTTCGTTATATCCGTCAGTTCGTTATAAGTGTGTTCGTTATAACCGTAGTTTACTGTATAAAGAAGAAGAGAATGGACGTATTGGTAAGCCCGGCTGTATTTTTTGTGTGATTGCATCCCCCAAAGATTTGTTGTTTGTTGTTGAGAGACAAGTAAACATCATTCTACTGATTTGTCTGTTTGTTGTTTAACGCCGCACTCAGCAATATTCCAGCTATATCACGGCGGTCTGTAACCAGACAATCCAGTGACTGACATCATGAGCATCGATCCACGCAATCGGGATACGATGACATGCATCAACCAAGTCAGTGAGCCTGACCACCGATCCCGTTAGTCGCCTCTTACGACAAGCATAGTCGCCTTTTACGGCAAGCATGGGCTACTGATGACCTTTCCTACCCCGGTTCCTGACGGGTCCATCATTCTACTGAAATACTACGGCAAAAGGTGTTCAACTATTGAACAAAAATTGCATCAGTTTTGTAACAATTGCCAAACTATTGCAGCCGTAGTCCAGTGTCTGTTTATTTGTTTGTTGCTTTACGCCGCACTCAGCAATATTACAGCTATACCGTCGGTCTGTAAATAATCGAGCTTGGACCAGACAATCCAGTGATTGACATCATGAGCATCGATCCACGCAATTGGGATATGATGACATGCATCAACCAAGTAAGCGAGCTTGTCCACCCGATCCCGTTAGTCCCCTCTGAACCTATTCTAATCAGAATCTTCCCCCTAAGACATAAGGCAACACTCGCTCCCCATTTCCACCTGTGTTGGACCCGGTACAGCTACACCGTTTAAGGTGAGGTGAGGTGAGGTGAGGTGAGGTGAGGTGAGGTGAAATTGGGTTTAAGGTCGCATCCAAGATTATTGCACTTATATAGCGACGTGCATGCACGTGTGTGTGTGTGTGTGTGTGTGTGTGTGTGTGTGTGTGTGTGTGTGTGTGTGTGTGTGTGTGTGTGTGTGTGTGTGTGTGTGTGTGTGTGTGTGTGTGTGTGTGTGTGTGTGTGTGCTTGTACTAGTCCGGACTGATGCCGATTTATAGTGCTAGCACACTGAGATATCATGCCGCAGTTTAACATGAATACCCCACTCAGGCACAGTATACTGACTCCGAGGCGACCAGTCCTTGTTTTAGCCCCTTAATGCCGAGCGGCAGACGGGGTAACAACAAGTACCATCTTTTAACGTCTTTTGGTATGACGCGGCCGGGGATCGAACCCCGGACCTTCCGCTCTCCGGGCGGACGCTCTACCACTAGACCACGGATGCGGTCTTCACCGTTTAAGGGTCGTTGTGATATTTGCAAAAGACACTATTGACATGAACAATACCTCCAAAATTGGCATCCCAGTTTCTGTTCAGGTCCACACCGCGGCCGAAGATGGAACTGCAGGTGTTCCTGTTCTTCCTCCACAGACGGTCCTGGAGAACACAGCAATGTGACCATGGCATGTACACTGGATAGGTGGATAGATGAGGCTTAAGTAAAGGTATACACCAGGGTGTGTGTGTGTGTGTGTGTGTGTGTGTGTGTGTGTGTGTGTGTGTGTGTGTGTGTGTGTGTGTGTGTGTGTGTGTGTGTGTGTGTGTGTGTGTGTGTGTGTGTGTGTGTGTGTGTGTGTGTGTGTGAATGTGTGTGTGTGTGTGTGTGTGTGTGTGTACCCATCAGGGTTTGTGACAAGGACGATGTACTTAGAGTGATGTGTGTGTAGGTATACCCATCAGAGTTGGTGACAAGGACGATGTACTTACAGTGGTGTGTGTGTAGGTATATCCACCAGAGTTGGTGACAAGGACGATGTACTTACAGTGGTGTGTGTGTAGGTATATCCATCAGAGTTGGTGACAAGGACGATGTACTTATAGTGGTGTGTGTGTAGGTATATCCACCAGAGTTGGTGACAAGGACGATGTACTTACAGTGGTGTGTGTGTGTGTGTACCCATCAGAGTTGGTGACAAGGACGATGTACTTACAGTGGTGTGTGTGTAGGTATATCCATCAGAGTTGGTGACAAGGACGATGTACTTACAGTGGTGTGTGTGTAGGTATATCCATCAGAGTTGGTGACAAGGACGATGTACTTACAGTGATGTGTGTGTAGGTATATCCATCAGAGTTGGTGACAAGGACGATGTACTTACAGTGGTGTGTGTGTAGGTATATCCATCAGAGTTGGTGACAAGGACGATGTACTTACAGTAGTGTGTGTGTAGGTATACCCATCAGAGTTGGTGACAAGGACGATGTACTTACAGTGGTGTGTGTGTAGGTATACCCATCAGGGTTGGTGACAAGGACGATGTACTTACAGTGGTGTGTGTGTAGGTATACCCATCAGACCTGGTGACAAGGACGATGTACTTACAGTGGTGTGTGTGTAGGTATATCCATCAGACCTGGTGACAAGGACGATGTACTTACAGTGGTGTGTGTGTGTGTGTACCCATCAGAGTTGGTGACAAGGACGATGTACTTACAGTGGTGTGTGTGTAGGTATATCCATCAGAGTTGGTGACAAGGACGATGTACTTACAGTGGTGTATGTGTGTGTGTACCCATCAGGGTTGGTGACAAGGACGATGTACTTACAGTGGTGTGTGTGTAGGTATATCCACCAGAGTTGGTGACAAGGACGATGTACTTACAGTGGTGTGTGTGTGTGTGTGTGTGTGTGTGTACCCATCAGGGTTGGTGACAAGGACGATGTACTTACAGTGGTGTGTGTGTAGGTATATCCACCAGAGTTGGTGACAAGGACGATGTACTTACAGTGGTGTGTGTGTAGGTATATCCATCAGAGTTGGTGACAAGGACGATGTACTTACAGTGGTGTGTGTGTAGGTATACCCTTCAGGGTTGGTGACAAGGACGATGTACTTACAGTGGTGTGTGTGTAGGTATATCCATCAGAGTTGGTGACAAGGACGATGTACTTACAGTGGTGTGTGTGTAGGTATACCCATCGGGGTTTGTGACAAGGACGATGTACTTACAGTGATGTGTGTGTAGGTATACCCTTCAGGGTTGGTTACAAGGACGATGTACTTACAGTGGTGTGTGTGTAGGTATACCCATCAGGGTTGGCGACAAGGACGATGTACTTACAGTGGTGTGTGTGTAGGTATACCCTTCAGGGTTGGCGACAAGGACGATGTACTTACAGTGGTGTGTGTGTAGGTATACCCATCAGAGTTGGTGACAAGGACGATGTACTTACAGTGGTGTGTGTGTAGGTATATCCATCAGAGTTGGTGACAAGGACGATGTACTTACAGTGGTGTGTGTGTAGGTATATCCACCAGAGTTGGTGACAAGGACGATGTACTTACAGTGGTGTGTGTGTAGGTATATCCACCAGAGTTGGTGACAAGGACGATGTACTTACAGTGGTGTGTGTGTAGGTATACCCATCGGGGTTTGTGACAAGGACGATGTACTTACAGTGGTGTGTGTGTAGGTATACCCATCGGGGTTTGTGACAAGGACGATGTACTTACAGTGGTGTGTGTGTAGGTATACCCATCGGGGTTTGTGACAAGGACGATGTACTTACAGTGGTGTGTATGTAGGTATACCCTTCAGGGTTGGTGACAAGGACGATGTACTTACAGTGGTGTATGTGTGTAGGTATACCCATCAGGGTTGGCGACAAGGACGATGTACTTACAGTGGTGTGTGTGTAGGTATACCCATCAGGGTTGCCGACAAGGACGATGTACTAACAGTGGTGTGTGTGTAGGTATACCCTTCAGGGTTGGTGACAAGGACGATGTACTTACAGTGGTGTGTGTGTAGGTATACCCTTCAGGGTTGGTGACAAGGACGATGTACTTACAGTGGTGTATGTGTGTAGGTATACCCATCAGGGTTGGCGACAAGGACGATGTACTTACAGTGGTGTGTGTGTGTGTATACCCATCAGGGTTGGTGACAAGGACGATGTCCTAACAGTGGTGTGTGTGTAGGTATACCCTTCAGGGTTGGTGACAAGGACGATGTACTTACAGTGGTGTGTGTGTAGGTATATCCATCAGAGTTGGTGACAAGGACGATGTACTTACAGTGGTGTGTGTAGGTATACCCATCAGAGTTGGTGACAAGGACGATGTACTTACAGTGGTGTGTGTGTAGGTATACCCATCGGGGTTTGTGACAAGGACGATGTACTTACAGTGGTGTGTGTGTAGGTATACCCATCGGGGTTTGTGACAAGGACGATGTACTTACAGTGGTGTGTGTGTAGGTATACCCTTCAGGGTTGGTGACAAGGACGATGTACTTACAGTGGTGTATGTGTGTAGGTATACCCATCAGGGTTGGCGACAAGGACGATGTACTTACAGTGGTGTGTGTGTAGGTATACCCATCAGGGTTGCCGACAAGGACGATGTACTAACAGTGGTGTGTGTGTAGGTATACCCTTCAGGGTTGGTGACAAGGACGATGTACTTACAGTGGTGTGTGTGTAGGTATACCCTTCAGGGTTGGTGACAAGGACGATGTACTTACAGTGGTGTATGTGTGTAGGTATACCCATCAGGGTTGGCGAAAAGGACGATGTACTTACAGTGGTGTGTGTGTGTGTATACCCATCAGGGTTGGTGACAAGGACGATGTCCTAACAGTGGTGTGTGTGTAGGTATACCCTTCAGGGTTGGTGACAAGGACGATGTACTTACAGTGGTGTGTGTGTAGGTATATCCATCAGAGTTGGTGACAAGGACGATGTACTTACAGTGGTGTGTGTAGGTATACCCTTCAGGGTTGGTGACAAGGACGATGTACTTACAGTGGTGTGTGTGTAGGTATACCCATCAGGGTTGGCGACAAGGACGATGTACTTACAGTGGTGTGTGTGTAGGTATACCCATCAGGGTTGGTGACAAGGACGATGTACTTACAGTGGTGTGTGTGTAGGTATATCCATCAGAGTTGGTGACAAGGACGATGTACTTACAGTGGTGTGTGTGTAGGTATATCCATCAGAGTTGGTGACAAGGACGATGTACTTACAGTGGTGTGTGTGTAGGTATACCCATCGGGGTTTGTGACAAGGACGATGTACTTACACTGGTGTGTGTGTAGGTATATCCACCAGAGTTGGTGACAAGGACGATGTACTTACAGTGGTGTGTGTGTAGGTATACCCATCGGGGTTTGTGGCAAGGACGATGTACTTACAGTGGTGTGTGTGTAGGTATACCCTTCAGGGTTGGTGACAAGGACGATGTACTTACAGTGGTGTGTGTGTAGGTATACCCATCAGGGTTGGCGACAAGGACGATGTACTTACAGTGGTGTGTGTGTAGGTATACCCATCAGGGTTGGTGACAAGGACGATGTACTTACAGTGGTGTGTGTGTAGGTATACCCATCAGGGTTGGTGACAAGGACGATGTACTTACAGTGGTGCGTGTGTAGGTATATCCATCAGAGTTGGTGACAAGGACGATGTACTTACAGTGGTGTGTGTGTAGGTATACCCATCGGGGTTTGTGACGAGGACGATGTACTTACAGTGGTGTGTGTGTAGGTATACCCATCGGGGTTTGTGACAAGGATGATGTACTTACAGTGGTGTGTGTGTAGGTATACCTATCGGGGTTGGTGACAAGGACGATGTACTTACAGTGGTGTGTGTGTAGGTATACCCATCAGGGTTGGCGACAAGGACGATGTACTTACAGTGGTGTGTGTGTAGGTATACCCATCAGGGTTGGTGACAAGGACGATGTACTTACAGTGGTGTGTGTGTAGGTATACCCATCAGGGTTGGTGACAAGGACGATGTACTTACAGTGGTGCGTGTGTAGGTATATCCATCAGAGTTGGTGACAAGGACGATGTACTTACAGTGGTGTGTGTGTAGGTATACCCATCGGGGTTTGTGACGAGGACGATGTACTTACAGTGGTGTGTGTGTAGGTATACCCATCGGGGTTTGTGACAAGGATGATGTACTTACAGTGGTGTGTGTGTAGGTATACCTATCGGGGTTGGTGACAAGGACGATGTACTTACAGTGGTGTGTGTGTAGGTATACCCATCAGGGTTGGCGACAAGGACGATGTACTTACAGTGGTGTGTGTGTAGGTATACCCATCAGGGTTGGTGACAAGGACGATGTACTTACAGTGGTGTGTGTGTAGGTATACCCTTCAGGGTTGGTGACAAGGACGATGTACTTACAGTGGTGTGTGTGTAGGTATACCCATCGGGGTTTGTGACAAGGACGATGTACTTACAGTGGTGTGTGTGTAGGTATACCCATCGGGGTTTGTGACAAGGACGATGTACTTACAGTGGTGTGTGTGTAGGTATACCCTTCAGGGTTGGTGACAAGGACGATGTACTTACAGTGGTGTATGTGTGTAGGTATACCCATCAGGGTTGGCGACAAGGACGATGTACTTACAGTGGTGTGTGTGTAGGTATACCCATCAGGGTTGCCGACAAGGACGATGTACTAACAGTGGTGTGTGTGTAGGTATACCCTTCAGGGTTGGTGACAAGGACGATGTACTTACAGTGGTGTATGTGTGTAGGTATACCCATCAGGGTTGGCGACAAGGACGATGTACTTACAGTGGTGTGTGTGTGTATACCCATCAGGGTTGGTGACAAGGACGATGTACTAACAGTGGTGTGTGTGTAGGTATACCCTTCAGGGTTGGTGACAAGGACGATGTACTTACAGTGGTGTGTGTAGGTATACCCATCAGGGTTGGTGACAAGGACGATGTACTAACAGTGGTGTGTGTGTAGGTATACCCTTCAGGGTTGGTGACAAGGACGATGTACTAACAGTGGTGTGTGTAGGTATACCCTTCAGGGTTGGTGACAAGGACGATGTACTTACAGTGGTGTGTGTAGGTATACCCATCAGAGTTTGTGACAAGGACGATGTACTTACAGTGGTGTGTGTGTAGGTATACCCATCGGGGTTTGTGACAAGGACGATGTACTTACAGTGGTGTGTGTGTAGGTATACCCTTCAGGGTTGGTGACAAGGACGATGTACTTACAGTGGTGTGTGTGTAGGTATACCCATCAGGGTTGGTGACAAGGACGATGTACTTACAGTGGTGTGAGTGTAGGTATACCCATCAGGGTTGGTGACAAGGACGATGTACTTACAGTGGTGTGTGTGTAGGTATATCCATCAGAGTTGGTGACAAGGACGATGTACTTACAGTGGTGTGTGTGTAGGTATATCCATCAGAGTTGGTGACAAGGACGATGTACTTACAGTGGTGTGTGTGTAGGTATATCCATCAGAGGTGGTGACAAGGACGATGTACTTACAGTGGTGTGTGTGTAGGTATACCCATCGGGGTTTGTGACAAGGACGATGTACTTACAGTGGTGTGTGTGTAGGTATACCCATCGGGGTTTGTGACAAGGACGATGTACTTACAGTAGCGTGTGTGTAGGTATACCCATCAGGGTTGGCGACAAGGACGATGTACTTACAGTGGTGTGTGTGTAGGTATACCCATCAGGGTTGGCGACAAGGACGATGTACTAACAGTGGTGTGTGTGTAGGTATACCCTTCAGGGTTGGTGACAAGGACGATGTACTTACAGTGGTGTGTGTGTAGGTATACCCTTCAGGGTTGGTGACAAGGACGATGTACTTACAGTGGTGTATGTGTGTAGGTATACCCATCAGGGTTGGCGACAAGGACGATGTACTTACAGTGGTATGTGTGTGTATACCCATCAGGGTTGGTGACAAGGACGATGTACTAACAGTGGTGTGTGTGTAGGTATACCCTTCAGGGTTGGTGACAAGGACGATGTACTTCCAGTGGTGTGTGTGTAGGTATATCCATCAGAGTTGGTGACAAGGACGATGTACTTACAGTGGTGTGTGTAGGTATACCAATCAGAGTTGGTGACAAGGACGATGTACTTACAGTGGTGTGTGTGTAGGTATACCCTTCAGGGTTGGTGACAAGGACGATGTACTTACAGTGATGTGTGTGTAGGTATACCCATCAGGGTTGGTGACAAGGACGATGTACTTACAGTGATGTGTGTGTAGGTATATCCATCAGACCTGGTGACGAGGACGATGTACTTACAGTGGTGTGTGTAGGTATACTCTTCAGACCTGGTGACAAGGACGATGTACTTACACTGGCGTGTGTGTAGGTATACCCATCAGGGTTGGTGACAAGGACGATGTACCTACAGTGGTGTGTGTGTAGGTATATCCATCAGACCTGGTCACGAGGACGATGTACTTACAGTGGTGTGTGTGTAGGTATACCCATCAGGGTTGGTGACAAGGACGATGTACTTACAGTGGCATGTGTGTAGGTATACCCATCAGGGTTGGTGACAAGGACGATGTACTTACAGTGAGTAGCGTGTGTGTAGGTATACCCATCAGACCTGGTGACAAGGACGATGTACTTACAGTGAGTAGCGTGTGTGTAGGTATACCCTTCAGGGTTGGTGACAAGGACGATGTACTAACAGTGGTGTGTGTGTAGGTATACCCATCAGGGTTGGTGACAAGGACGATGTACTTACAGTGGCGTGTGTGTAGGTATACCCATCAGGGTTGGTGACAGGAACGATGTACCACTCAAAGTTGTTGTACAAAAATTCGGCCTGACTGCCGGGGATGGATCGTTCGTGAAGCATCTGTAGAGAAACAGAAGTCGTTGGAGCCCAGATATTGGAGAAAGCTAAAAGAAACCCGAGTGCCGCTGACTGTCTGGCACAGTGGCATTGGCAGCAGGGGTGGGGGTACCCAGTCTGTGAGTGAGTGAGTGAGTGAGTATGGTTTTACGCCGCTTTTAGCAATATTCCAGCAATATCACGGCGGGGGACACCAGAAATGGGCTTCACACATTGTACCCATGTCGGGAATCGAGCCCGGGTCTTCAGCGTGACGAGCGAAAGCTTTAACCACTAGGCTACCCGACCGCCCCTACGCACTCTGTGTACAAAGTTGGACTCACCCTATCTTCAAAGTTGGACGCAACCTCTCTCCAAACTTACTCACCCTGTCTACAAAGTACATCGAGGAGGCAGGTGAAACCCATTCTCTGGCGTGAATCCCGGCTTCGATGAAGATACGCTTCTTGCCAGAAACATTGGGGTTGTTAATCTGAAAGAAAAAATTATTAAATTTAAATAAATATACTCAGTGGTTTTTTTCCATTTTGGTTGATATTTTCCATGTTATTTAAACGAACATGCATGAGAGTATGTATTTAAGGCCTTTTTCAGCAATATTCCAGTAGCGTGTTAGAACGGGTCTTCAGCAACCCATGCTTGCCGTCAATGGCGTCTATGTTTGTCGTAAGAGGCGAATAACGTGAATCGGGTGGACAGGCTCCCTGACGTGGTTGTTGCATGTCATCGCATCCTAATTACGTAGACCCGTGAAGATCCGGGTGACAATTGGTCTTCAGCAAGCCATGCTTGTCGTAAGAGGCGATCGGGTGGTCGATGAATGTCATCGTATCCCAACTGCGCAGATTGATGCTCATGATGTCAATCACTGGATTGTCTGGTCCAGACTCGAGCATTTACGGACCGCCGTCATATAGATAGAATATTGCTGAGTGCGGCGTTAAACAACAAACAAACAAACGTAGATAATTGATCATGATCTCAATCACTGGATAGTTTGGTCCAGACTCGAGTATTTACAGACCGCTGTCATATAGCTGGAAAATTGCGGCGTTAAACAACAAACAAACACTGGACTACGATTGCAATAGTTTAGCAGTTGCTACAAAACTAATGCAATATTTGTTCAATAGTTGTACACCTATTGCAATAGTATTTCAGCAGAATGATGAATACTTGTCTCTTTTTTGTTTAAATCGATATAGAGCCAAAGCCAAACCTGTAGCGGAGTTTAATTGTTTATATTTTAGCTCGTCATATTCCGCATTTAAATACATCGATAATTCAATCCATCTGTAAGGTCCTTAAAGATAATTAAATTGTGTGTTGTTGATTTGTGTGTCGTTACTACAGTTTACACCGCCGTCATATAGCTGGAATATTGCTGAGTGTGGCGTTAAACAACAAATAAACAATCAAACAAAACTACTGTTTATATGACGAGTGCACCTTTGTCAACGGATGCGTGTGACGACATCCTTCTCCATTTCGAGTCACTGATCCATGAAACACTTAGTATTGTTTTTGGGTCTCCATAAATTGAGAGTTAACGATGACCAAGATCACAGTTAGTTGAGTATTCAGCTTGAAATATTTCTTTAATATATTAATATTCATAGATTATTTCTTTTCGATCTAAGTACTTATTATTTTTTTTATCAATATTAACACTTGATGTTTTCTTTTCTTATCCACTGGCTGGACATTGTGGTCACGTGGTTGCAACGTTGACAAGGGCGGATCCAGGCATTTTTTAAAGAGGTGTCCAAATATCAAAATCCTCTCTCAGATAATTTTACTGGCTACAATATACTAAAATTGGTTTTCAAAAAGGGAGGGAGGGGTAGGGTGGGGTGGGGAGGGGCGGACCCAGGGCTGGGGTGGGGTGGGGCGTGGTGGGATGGGGCCACCTACCTCTGGGTCGGCCTATGGTTGACCATGATGTGACCACGTACTTGTTTACCATAGACGTATCGTGACACCAGAATACATTATACGTACATGGATGTAGCTGGTCGATCTCCCCTCTGGGTCGGCCTATGGTTGACCATGATGTGACCACGTACTTGTTTACCATAGACGTATCGTGACACCAGAATACATTATACGTACATGGATGTAGCTGGTCGATCTCCCCTCTGGGTCGGCCTATGGTTGACGTTGATGTGACCACGTACTTGTTTACCATAGACGTATCGTGACACCAGAATACATTATACGTACATGGATGTAGCTGGTCGATCTCCCCTCTGGGTCGGCCTATGGTTGACCATGATGTGACCACGTACTTGTTTACCATGGACGTATCGTGACACCAGAATACATTATACGTACATGGATGTAGCTGGTCGATCTCCCCTCTGGGTCGGCCTATGGTTGACCATGGTGTGACCACGTACTTGTTTACCATGGACGTATCGTGACACCAGAATACATTATACGTACATGGATGTAGCTGGTCGATCTCCCCTCTGGGTCGGCCTATGGTTGACCATGATGTGACCACGTACTTGTTTACCATGGACGTATCGTGACACCAGAATACATTATACGTACATGGATGTAGCTGGTCGATCTCCCCTCTGGGTCGGCCTATGGTTGACGTTGATGTGACCACGTACTTGTTTACCATGGACGTATCGTGACACCAGAATACATTATACGTACATGGATGTAGCTGGTCGATCTCCCCTCATACGTCGTGTGGTCCAGGGTCCCCGTCGACACTCCGCTGAAGCTGTTGGCGAAACCGGTGATGTAGTTGTTGATCTGAAAGTTATCTTGAATGTTTCAGCTTTGAAACGAGGACCATCGTTAATTCATTATTATTATTACTATTATTAATACATTCATATTATTATTGTTCTGAAACAGAAAGAGAAAACGGGTGGGGCAGCATTAGGATTGTGAAGTCATCACTCAGGACAGGGTAACCGCGTCAACGCAAATTCTTAGGAGTGAGTGAGTGAGTGAGTGAGTTGGGTTTAACGCCGCTTTTAACAGTATTCCAGTCATATCGCGGCGTGGCAGCTTAATGTGGGAGGAAAGCCCGAAGTGATGCAGGTCTCCACGTTTACCACTTCGGTGAAACCCACGAGCACGGGTATGGTGCTGACAAACCTAGAAACATGATTGGGGCGAACCGTGATTCGAACCCACAATCATAGGTTTCTGGCGTGCCCAAGGGACGCAACTCTGCACAGCGAATCGCGGCGCCTTAGACGACTGGGCAAGCCGTGCCCCAATTCCTAGGAACGATCCTCATTATATCGAGGTATCACAGTTCGAAACAAGCGGAGTGTCCTTATGTAGTGCTGGGACAATAAACTTACTTGAGGTCAAGGGTGTTTTTTTGCGTTGATGGAAGTATAAACAGAAAAGCCGCGGTGCTCTCAGCGCTTGTCACATCACATGTTTTAACGTAACGGCACCGAGATGACCCGGTCAGCCCTACTCACCGTAGTGAGGTCGTTGTATTTTGTGTGGTCGACTATGCCGTTGAAGTAGTGTTGGACCCCGCTGTAGGACTTCTCTTGTGGGGGATTGTCCAGGAGACTGATATGAAATGTCAAACGTTATTATGAGGAACACAACGTTTCGGAGTATATGCTTCATCGGGTGATAGACTGATGTAAGAACAATGTAGACGTGAGAACAACAAAAGTAATAAGATAACAAAAGGTTGAAACTTAATATGAAGCGAAGGGGAAACGATACCCTCGTACATCACAATTCAATGCGGTTCACCATACATCTTGTTCACGATACGACACAAAGAAAGATCAATAAACAAATAAAATTAATTCAGGATACCTTCATGATATAGTGCAATTCTGATTGTGGTACGTCTTCATGAAGCATTAATAATGAATGCACTGTTAATGAACTGAATTTTCTAAGACGCCATTAATCATCAACGAAGGCGTCCTGTATGTCTTCATCAACTATTGATGAACTGAATCTTGTGAGACGCCAATAACCATTAACAAAGGCGACACGGTATGTCCTCTTGATCTAGTAATGAACTCTATGTCTCCATGTACTATCAATGAACAGTATGCCTTCATGAACTATTACCGAACATTCTTGCTTCATGAAATATTAATGAAAAATATGCATTCATGAACTATTAACGAACATTGTTGCTTCATGAAATATTTATGAAAGTATGCATTCATGAACTATTAACGAACATTCTTGCTTCATGAAATATTTATGAGAGTATGCATTCATGAACTATTAACGAACATTCTTGCTTCATGAAATATTTATGAAAGTATGCATTCATGAACTATTAATGAACATCGTTGCTTCATGAAATATTTATGAAAGTATGCATTCATGAACTATTAATGAACATCGTTGCTTCATGAAATATTTATGAAAGTATGCATTCATGAACTATTAACGAACATTGTTGCTTCATGAAATATTTATGAAAGTATGCATTCATGAACTATTAACGAACATCGTTGCTTCATGAAATATTAATGAAACATATGCATTCATAAACTATTAATGAACATCGTTGCTTCATGAAATATTATGAAAGTATGCATTCATGAACTTTTAATGAACATCGTTGCTTCATGAAATATTAATGAAAAGTATGCATTTCATGAACTATTAATTAACATTGTTGCTTCATGAAATATTTATGAAAGTATGCATTCATAAACTATTAATGAACATCGTTGCTTCATGAAATATTTATGAAAGTATGCATTCATAAACTATTAATGAACATCGTTGCTTCATGAAATATTTATGAAAGTATGCATTCATGAACTATTAACGAACATTGTTGCTTCATGAAATATTTATGAAAGTATGCATTCATGAACTATTAACGAACATTGTTGCTTCATGAAAATATGCATTCATGAACTATTAATGAACATCGTTGCTTCATGAAATATTTATGAAAAGTATGCATTCATGAGCTATTAACAAACATTGTTGCTTCATGAAATATTTATGAAAGTGTGCATTTAGGACTATTAATGAACATAGTTGCTTCATGAAATATTAATGAAAAGTATGCATTTCATGAACTATTAACGAACATTGTTGCTTCATGAAATATTTATGAAAGTATGCATTCATGAACTATTAACGAACATTCTTGCTTCATGAAATATTTATGAGAGTATGCATTCATGAACTATTAACGAACATTCTTGCTTCATGAAATATTTATGAAAGTATGCATTCATGAACTATTAATGAACATCGTTGCTTCATGAAATATTTATGAAAGTATGCATTCATGAACTATTAATGAACATCGTTGCTTCATGAAATATTTATGAAAGTATGCATTCATGAACTATTAACGAACATTGTTGCTTCATGAAATATTTATGAAAGTATGCATTCATGAACTATTAACGAACATCGTTGCTTCATGAAATATTAATGAAACATATGCATTCATAAACTATTAATGAACATCGTTGCTTCATGAAATATTATGAAAGTATGCATTCATGAACTTTTAATGAACATCGTTGCTTCATGAAATATTAATGAAAAGTATGCATTTCATGAACTATTAATGAACATTGTTGCTTCATGAAATATTTATGAAAGTATGCATTCATAAACTATTAATGAACATCGTTGCTTCATGAAATATTTATGAAAGTATGCATTCATGAACTATTAACGAACATTGTTGCTTCATGAAATATTTATGAAAGTATGCATTCATGAACTATTAACGAACATTGTTGCTTCATGAAAATATGCATTCATGAACTATTAATGAACATCGTTGCTTCATGAAATATTCATGAAAAGTATGCATTCATGAGCTATTAACGAACATTGTTGCTTCATGAAATATTTATGAAAGTGTGCATTCATGAACTATTAATGAACATAGTTGCTTCATGAAATATTAATGAAAAGTATGCATTTCATGAACTATTAACGAACATCGTTGCTTCATGAAATATTTATGAAAAGTATGCATTCATGAGCTATTAACGAACATTGTTGCTTCATGAAATATTTTTGAAAGTATGCATTCATGAACTATTAATGAACATCGCTGCTTCATGAAATATTTATGAAAGTATGCATTCATGAACTATTAATGAACATCGTTGCTTCATGAAATATTTATGAAAGTATGCATTCATGAACTATTAATGAACATCGTTGCTTCATGAAATATTTATGAAAGTATGCATTCATGAACTATTAACGAACATTGTTGCTTCATGAAATATTTATGAAAGTGTGCATTCATGAACTATTAATGAACATAGTTGCTTCATGAAGTATTAATGAAAAGTATGCATTTCATGAACTATTAACGAACATCGTTGCTTCATGAAATATTTATGAAAGTATGCATTCATGAGCTATTAACGAACATTGTTGCTTCATGAAATATTTATGAAAGTGTGCATTCATGAACTATTAATGAACATAGTTGCTTCATGAAATATTAATGAAAAGTATGCATTTCATGAACTATTAACGAACATCGTTGCTTCATGAAATATTTATGAAAAGTATGCATTCATGAGCTATTAACGAACATTGTTGCTTCATGAAATATTTTTGAAAGTATACATTCATGAACTATTAATGAACATCGCTGCTTCATGAAATATTTATGAAAGTATGCATTCATGAACTATTAATGAACATCGTTGCTTCATGAAATATTTATGAAAGTATGCATTCATGAACTATTAATGAACATCGTTGCTTCATGAAATATTTATGAAAGTATGCATTCATGAACTATTAATGAACATTGTTGCTTCGTGAAATATTTATGAAAAATATGCATTCATGAACTGTCAATGAACTCACTCCTGAATGTTTTCATGTTTAACTTCATGCTGAATGCCCGCCGCGTTGATGAGATCGACGAATCTCTGGTAGGTCTCTGGAGGCACCCTGACCCGACCCTGGTGGTTGACCCGGGGCTCTATCCACACGTCTAGCTGCCAACACATAGATTGACACATATCACAACGTGGTGTTGTCCGACCTCGCCCCACCGCTCACACCCCCACCCCCATCACAGACACACCCTCACAGAAACAATGCACACAGGCCTTCACAAAGTCACTCTCACCAGCTGCTCTCATTAAGATATAACTGCAACGCTTGCATGCACGCCGATACACACAACGTTGAAATTTACGCATCGCGGCCATTTACGCACATAGTTGCATCTCTTAATGCACGCACCTGACCCCAATCCTTCCGAGCAAGCTACAAGTAGGTGAGATTATATATGTATGTATGTGTGTGTGTGTTTGTGTTTCTGCGTGTGCGTGTGTACAACTGACATACCATGCCGCAGTTTAACATACTTACCCCACTCAGACACGGTATACTGACTCCGATCCCACTCGTCCTTGTTGTATCTCCTTTTTGCCGAGCGCCAGGCAGGGTAACAACAAGTGCCATCTTTTGGTAAGCCGCGGCCGGGGATTCAACCGCCGACACTTCGCTTTCCGGGCAGACGTTATATCAACCAGACCACTGAGGCACCAATGCACACACACATACATAATATGTGTTTTTGTTTGTTTGTTGTTTAACGCCGAACTCAGCAATATTACAGCTGTATGACGGCGGTCTGTAAATAATCGAATCTTGACTAGACAATCCGGTGATTGACATGACCATCGATCCACGCAATTGGGATACGATGGTATGCATCAACCAATTCAGCGAGCCTGACCACCCGATCCCGTTAGTCGCCTTTTACGGCAAGCATGGGTTGCTGAAGACCCATAAACTCATAAACAATGTACAAATGTTAAACACTTGTGTCACGGTCGCACACAAACTCATAAACACAGCATTTTCAACGTGAGGTATAAAAAACATTCTTCTTCTTATTTATCTCACCACATTCACGCAACAATCCCACCCAATATCATATACACGACACCACAAACATACACTACCGGGCAAAAGAAAGTATACATCCGCGTTTGATGGTGGCTTAGACTGACACAAACACGAAACGGTTGCTTTCAGCCCAGTAACGTTTTGATAATGTTTGTAGTTTTGTTGTCTGATGAAGCAAGCTCGCTGGTTTGTTTGTTTGTTGTTTGACACCGCACTCAGCAATATTCCAGCTATATGACGGCGGTCTGTAAGTAATCGAGTCTGGACCAGACAATCCAGTGATCGACATCATGAGCATCGATCAACGCAATTGGGATCGATGACATGCATCAAACAAGGTCAGCGAGCCTGACCACCCGATCCAGTTAGTCGCCTCTTTCGACAGGTGTGGTGGCGGTGCAGTTTTCAAGCAGTAGTGTAAAAGGTGAATTAATTGATGTCAACTTCTTTATTATGAGGAACACAACGTTTCGGAGTATATGCTTACTCCTTCATCAGGTGAATTAGGAGATAAACATACTGTGTTTTCAATGTAGAGCTAGGTTACCTGTAGAATCAACCCCGCTAAATTGAATTTGGAACCGAACTTTTTCAAGTGCTTTGTTCCGCCCGACGGTTTGTTTTCAGACAATTCTTCCATACTTACGAACATATACGCGGTTACGTGTTTCGATACACGACGTCACACATACTAGTTCATGCAGTGACCAAGACCTACCCCAAGGTGACCGCTGTTCTCGAGTTCGGCTAGAAAGTCGGCCTGTTCCTTGTTTTGAGGAGTTACTGCAAGCAGGCGGTGACTGGAGTGGAATGGAATTTTTTACGGCTGAGACAAGATCATATTTTTCAGTTAAATCTGCAAAACCGATATTTATTTAATTAAAACTACCTGGCTTAATTAATTGCAAGAAAACACCTTGGAACAATGTGACAGACAATTTCTTTTGTTTGAAACAGTCTGAAATATAATATTTTTAAAGATATTTCTTGGATAAATTATTTAAAATCAAACGGTCAGTTTCTACCAATCTTTCTTCATATCATTTACGACCCGTGAAGATTCCGGGGTAGAATAGATCTTCAGCAAGCCATACTTGCCGTAAAAGGAGACTATGTTTGTCGTAAAAGGCAACAAACGGGATCGGGTGGTCAGGCTCGCTGACTTGGTTGATGCATGTCATCGATCCCAATTGCTTGGATCGATGCTCATGATGTCAATCACTGGATTGTCTGGTCCAGAATCGAATATTTTACAGACCGCCGTCATATAGCTGGAACATTGCTGAGTGAGGCGTTAAATAACAAACAAACAAAAAATTTAATTGCTTGGATTGATGCACATGATATCAATCAGTGGATGGTCTGGTCCAGACTCGATTATTTACAGACCGCCATCATATAGCTGGAATATAGCGGCGTCAAACAAAAAACAACAACCCAAAACCCCAAAACAAATCATATCATAAACGGCTTATTCTTAATATCGTACAACGCGATACATGGTACAACATTGAAACAAGAAATTAAAACATTATAACAAGGCTTCACACTTACTTGACATAAGTCACCTTCTGGGGAAGTGCCCCCTCCTTGGGCAGCGTGTCCCCACCGGTCAAAGCTAGCCACCCAATGAACATCAATAGTTCCATCATCATCACAGAAACCCGGGACGGGGTGACACAGACACCCCCCTTTATATATACCCGGGGTAGGTAGCAGTTAGGCTGTAAACGTGTCAGACTCCATTGAACCCCCGAATGTCACATTACTTTATTACTTTACTGCCCGTATAAACAGCTTCTCAGACGACTTAGGTCATTTGAGATCACAGGACAGAACTCAATTGGCCCACTGTATCCTTTGTAGGAGGTTTACCGTCGCGTTTAAGATCCCCAGCAATTCATTCTTATCGTAAGAGGCGACTAGATGGATCGGGTTTTCAGACTCGCTGACCTAGCTCATTGCATGTCTTCGTGTCCCAAATGCGTAGAAGGGAGGCCGGGTAGCCTAGTTGTTAAAGCGTTCGCTCGTCACGCCGAAGACCCGGGTTCGATTCCCGACATGGCTACAATGTGTGAAGCCCATTTCGGTGTCCCCAGCCGTGATATTCCTTGAATATTGCTAAAGGGGCCTAAAAAAATACTCACTCACGCACTCACCCCAAATGCATAGATCAATGTTCATGATGTCAATCACGTGATTGTCTGGTCCAGACTTGAAGGTTTCCAGACCGCGATCGCATTCTTAAAGCGGCGTTAAACAACAACACAAGCATGTAAGCGACGTGCATGCATGCGTGCGTGTACTGGTAATAGTCCGGACTAATGCCGGTTTTGTAGTGCTAGCCCATTGAGATACCAGGACGCAGATACCTTTATGCTACAGAACCCCCTTTCCAATATATTAAGCCTTTTCACACAAAAACGTGCGTATGAATACATCGATGGCCTACATATCGATTCATAAACAAGAGGGCCTGTATCGCTCACCTGGATATTGACGCAATCATGACAAAATATACATTTGCATTGTACATGTATATAATACTGCAAATATTTCGTAAGTTTGACTCTGTCAGCATTTCAAAGGGGTGGATGGCAAATCTGACAGCATGAACGTGTATTTCTCTACAAATGTAGCATGAAGATCTGAACCGTCATGTTATGATCCTGATCTAAGTTTCCAGAGGCAAGGCTGGACCCCAGGGTGAATCCTGTTGGCATAAATGTATTATTCTCTTCATAACCAACAAATGAATACAATATATCTGTTCATTTCAGGGTGGGGATAATATCGGTTTGCATGTTATGGTCAAGGTTATAACTCCTTTGGGAGTGCCGGACAGATGAACAGGACTAGTCCTGGATGCATATGTGCATTCCTCTCATTATACTCAGCAATTGTACATATTTTATACGGTGGGGAGAAGAAGTCGTTTAAAGCAATAACGCCAAATTACCCCTATTTGGCCCCGCCCCTCGGCCCCTCGGGGGTTCAGCCCCACCATTTGTACAATTTTGAATCCTCACCACCGGAGAATGCTTACAACCAAATATGGTTGCTATATATCTCTTAGTTCCAAAGAAAAAGGTTTTTTAAAGCAATATAGCCAAATAACCCCTATTTGGCCCCGCCCCTCACCCCCTTGGAGAGTCAACCCCACCATTTGTACAATTTTGAATCCCCAACACCTAGGGATGCTTACAACCAAATATGGTTGATATCTATCTCTTAGTTCCAAAGAAGTAGTTGTTTAATGCAATATAGCCAAATTTTGACTACAGTAGCAGATGAAGTTTTAAATCAATTCACTCATGTGGGGGATGAAGCAGAGGATATCCTGTCATCTCTGAATTTAACAGCTGAAGAAATGAAGTCATATCAAACAGTGATTGATAAGTTTCAGAGATGAAAGAGCTGTATTTAACAGACGTATACAAGAAGATACATTGAACGTTTTAGCTCGTCATTGTGACCACGGTTCACTACACGATGATCTAATAAGGGACAACATTGTCGTAGGAATCAGAGACAGTGCATTAAGTACCAAAATGCAAGCAGATAATGATCTGACACTAGCCAAAGCTGTACAGATGGCAAGACAACGAGAAATGATTAAGAATCAACAATATCAACTTCATAAGACTGACACAAGTACGGCAGCAATGAATGCAGTCAAGTCTAGAAGACCGACAAAACCACACTGACAATCATCAAAGAATATTTTTCAAAGGCTTGGTCATGCTTCCAAGAATGAAAAACACAATTCAGGAAAGTCAAGAAGACCATATTGTCAACGATGCTGAACGAAACCTGCACACAAATGGCAAGATTGTCCTGCACGCGAGTCTATTTGTCACAAATGTAAGAAAAAGGGACATTATATTTCTGTTTGTCTTAGTGGCAGAAAAGTAGATGAATGTGTGCTAGGCTTTGACTCTGATGAAGATGAATTTTTCATTGGACAGCTGAGTGATATATCAAGAAATATTGATGAAGGCCCATGGGTGACAAACATTCAAGTGAATGACACCATGATGAACTTCAAGATTTATTGTGGTGCAGATGTCACTGTCATATCTGATACCTGTGACTTAGTGATGTCAAGCTTGAAAAGACCAAGAAAAAATTACTTGGCCCAGCTAAAATAAAACTCAACATCACAAGGGTGTTTACTCTGAAGCTACCCAAAGGCAGCAAGGTAACATCACAAGACATCTATGTTGTGATCAGAAACCTTGACAGAAGTCTACTGGGGAGACCAGCCTTAACAGCCCTTGAATTGATCAAGTTTGTAGACTCAGTCACAATTACTGATGTGGAGAGAAACTTTCCATCATTGTTCAAAGGCCTGGGTGAAATTCCGGGGGAACATGACATAGAACTAACTGATAATGCTGTACCCTGTTCTCTAAACACACCAAGACGTGTACCCATACCACTCCTTGAAAAGGTAAAGAAATAGCTCAAGAAAATGCAGGATCTGCAAGTCATCGAACCAGTTACACATCCATCAGACTGGTGACACAGCTCAACAATAGGGTGAAGAGATAGATTTACACTATGCCTGCAGTTGATCATATTCTCGGTCAGATTAAAGGTGCTAAGTACTTTACTCGCTTAGATGCTAATTCAGTCTTTTACCAGCTGAAGTTGTCAGACAAAGCATCCAAGTTAACAACTTTCATAACTCCATTTGGCCGATATCGGTTCAAAAGGATACCATTTGGAATCTCGAGTGCACCCGAGATATTTCAACGAACAATGTCTCAAATCCTGAAAGATCTTTCTGGTGTAATCTGACTGGTGGACGACATACTCATTCATGGCCCGACTCAAGAGGAGCATGATAAGTGTCTCATTAGAGTACTCAAACGTCTAGCAGATAATGGCATCATGCTCAACAGGGACAAGTGCGAGTTCAGCAAGACTAAACTGAAGTTTTTTGGACATGTCATCAGTGAGAATGGTGTTTAACCTGATCGGATAAAGTCAAAGCCCTTGTCAACATGAAACCTCCTACAGACAAAACTGAGCTGAGAAGATTTCCTGGTATCGCAAACCAAATGTCAAAGTTCTCTGTCAAACTTGCTGAAGGTCCCAAACCCCTGAGAGAGTTGCTACATAAAGACAGTACATTCCTATGGAGTGATGTCCAACAAGCCTCATTTGAAGAAGTCAAATGTAAAATATGTGATGCACCAACTGAGATGTTGTATGAGTCAGCAAGAGAAACGATTGTATCAGCAGATGCATCATCATATGGTATTGGAGCTGAGCTGAAACAGAAACAATCTGATGGATCATGGAAACCAGTAATCTTTGCATCCAGGTCTCTAAGTGATACAGAGCAAAGATACGCACAGATCGAAAAAGAAGCTCTGGCGATTACCTGCGCAACAGAAAGGTTCAACGATTATGTGCTTGGAAAACAGTTCCAAATAGAGACTGACCATAAGCCTCTTGTTTCCATACTTGGATCCAAATGTCTCAGAGATCTGTCTCCAAGATTGCAAAGTTTCAGAATGAGGTTAATGCGATATAGTTATTCTGTGTTCCACACACCTGGCAAAATTCTGGCAATTGAAGATACACTGTCAAGATCACTGGTGGATAAAATCCTCCTAACTGAAGACAAACACTTTGAACAAGAGACTGATCTCTATGTTGATCTAGGAGTGTCACAACTATCAGCTTCTGATGCGAAGTTAACAGAAATAGCCTCAGGACAAGAGAAAGTGTATGGCAGAATATCCACATTCCTACAGAACGAATGGCCTGCATACCATTCCCTGTCAACAGAGGAGAAGCAGCTGTACAAAGTGAGACATGATTTGTCTATGGTGAATGATCTGTTGTTAAAAGGCAATAGACTGGTGATACCTCCTACTCTCCGATCACAAATCCTCGAGCAGATTCGTGCGGGACATCAAGGAATCAGTAAGTGTCGAGAGAGGGCAATGCTTAAAGCAATATAGCCAAAATACCCCCATTTGGCGCCGCCCCTCAGCCCCTTGTGGGGTCAGCCCCACCACTTGTACAATTTTGAATCCCCACCACCTAGGGATGATTTGAGTCAAATTTTGTTAGTTTCCAATAAGTGGTTCGGAAGAAGAAGTCCTTTGAAAAAATGTTTACCTATGGACGACGGACTACAACGTATGGCATAAGCTCAGCTTGGTCCTTCGTTTATAACGAACTAAAAATAGTAGTCCCTTTGAGTTCGTTATAACCGTAGTTTACTGTATATGTAAACGTACCTCGTGGTGACTCGCGAGCGGGAGGGGGTAACTAATGAGTGACACCAATAACTATATGCCGCACATAATGATCTTGATATTTGGGGATATTGAGCCCCTGACATGTGTTACATGTCATTAATGTGTAGAGTGAAAACACACAAAGATTTTGTTCCTTTCATCGACAAAAATCCAAAGCCTCTTTACAGCTTAGTATGTTTAAAACCTAATTTAAACAATAACACATTATTACAGCCTATATCTGTGGTAACATCTTATAGACACGACGCTTAAAATTCAGTATAACAGAACACAATAGTTTAAAAAAAGTTATAAAACGTCAACAACAGAGAACAACCAGTCTCGATTGTCCGCCAATACAGATTCGATTGGGCGTAACAGCAAAATAGCCGTGAAAATGATATGAATAGATCACTGAAAATCACATATCAGC